CCCCCCCCCCCTCCTTTACCGGGACGGCGCGGGGGAGATGCCATCAATCTAAGGTTGCTGTATAAACTCAATTATTTAAGCGCAAATCAACGTACACTCTACGACGCCGTGTGGCTCCATTTCAATTTGGAGGTGTCGCGACATTCATCCCGAGCGCGTCAATGAGTGGACGACGCGAGCTCTATGGGTGATCGTCACTTTTTTTGTTGTTGTTGCGCGAAATGATCCCAGTGAATCCTAAATGAATCTCAGAAAACCGACCGAAGGTTTTGAGGAGGAGGAGGAAGAGGAGGAGGGCGGCGCGGAACGAACCCGCGCACCGCAATCAACCCCGAAAGCCACAGCAGCCGTCACGCTCCATTAGTGGCCTGTCATTTTTATGCAACCCCCAACCACGACCCCACCTCTCGCGTTCCAGTCGCTTAATTTTGTTCCCTTTTCCCCTCCACCGCTTGCGCTACCCGTGGCGACGTTTGGTCGCACACGTTTTAGGTTTTTCGCAACCACACGCAACAACACACACAGGGGAGGTGGGGTGACATCTTACAATAAATGTTTGTACTTGTATTTGCAGCGATTTTAGCCGTCAAAATGCAAGTGTATACAACTTACAAATGCAACCAAAAGCCAGAGTGCACCGCTTATCCAATCTTCCTGCGTAGTTTGGTTCATTCATAGAAATCAAGGGTGGGAGTGGTGGTGGGGTTGTAATTCACGCACTCTGCTATGAACCCATTGCCCCGGCTTTTATGCCCGACCAGGCCTTACATAAACGGTGAATACCTCAACTATCCTGATTCTCCCCTTCACAAACCCGCAGTCACCAGCGTGGTGAACAATAGTCAAATAACCCCCATGACTGGAGGACAAGGGGAGTCTTCATCCAGCATTGAAAAGGTACTGTATATAATAATGGAAGTGAATTTAATGTTTAGCCAGAACGTTTGTCCATTAATAGACACTGTAGCACAGTGGTTAGTGCAATGCTGTACAAACCTTCTGACTTAAGATAAATGCCTGGCCACGGCTAACATCAGTGGCGAGTACTATCTCCTCTCACTGACCAGCATAATGAATTATTGTAAAACAACCCGCATAAGCAACGTGGCTTGGGAAGGTCTTCATCTTAGCAATGGACACTGAAAGTGTGCAGCAAAAGCATCCATAAAAAAAGTGTGAGGACCCTTCTATAGATGTAGTGGCACACTAGGACATGCTGTGACTTTCAGTCTCCCGAGTATTTTCCTTTTATAATTTAACACATTCAAAGGTTCTCCCCCCCACTTTGTGCGTTCCCAATCCCAGAGCATGTCACGCGGTCCTGGGTGTGTTTAACAGGCGATATAATCAGCTTTCGGGCTGCGGGCAGATTGCCGTGCATAAGGGCCCCACAGACATGGGCGTGCACGGTTAGGACAACAGAGGGCCATCTACTGTAAAAATACTTCACCCATTACTTTCCCAGGCATTTCACGGAAAAAAATGTCTAATCCTCAGTGACAACAGAGGAAAGTGTATTCTTCCCCCTCCCAATTGGTTAAATTGTAGTGCTATTTTTAACGATAAGTTAAGAGAGACATTTTTTGGGTAATTTCCAATAATCATTGTTTCCGCTACTCTAGAAGAGGCTTCTCCATTACGTCTTGACAAATCTGACATTTGCTGAACTAAACTCGGATGATCTTTGTAAAGATTTTACTAACTTAAGCAATGTCTTGGAGCATTAGGTTTCACTTCCATTAACAATGCTCCCAATACCCCATTGTCTAAACATAATTATTTTAGTTTTCTTGGCCAACAATTACGAATTTATCAGGAGCTGCATCACGCGGAACACTTGACTTAAACCTGACAGATCTGCTTAGTTGTGAGAATTGCATGGGATAGCTGGCATGGAATGCATTTAAATATTTCCCAGAGATGTTGGCATCATCAATTAACTGACATACAATCCAATACACATGCAGGGATTTTAAAACACACTGACAATGAAGAACAGGGTAAAATGTATTTACCGCATCATGCAATGGTTTAAGCATGTTTGTCACCAACACAGGTACGTACTGACATCTCAGTGTCAGGATTATTGTATTAAGGAAATGTGCAGCAGGCCATGTTCACTTGGGATGTGAGGTGATCCGGAAGCTGTCTGCTCAAATTTAAGGCTCACCTCATGCAAAGCAGTGGATCATGCGCCGAGTTCAGCAGAGAAATTCCTTGTATCGTTTTTAGCGTGCAGAAATCCTATCGCGTAAACACATGTCCGTCATTGCTAATCCACCCCCTCCTGAAAGTGATGACACCCAAACGCTTCTGATGAAGGCCCGTCATCGAGACACGACCTGCAGTATTCTTCCTCAGAAATTACACTTCTTGTAGAATATTTGCATGTAGATTGAGGCCTTGATCCAGCAGTGTATAGATTAGACCTAATGAAGGTGATGGAGACAGCTAATTTAAGCACATGAGAGACGTTGATTGGTTCATGCTCCTCACTACCCAAGATAAGCTTTTAATTCTTGCCTTAAAAATGTCCTAAAACCTGCACAAACTGCATTACATCTCTGTCTAAAAATTGCATCGGTGTAGAGATGTTGTTTAACAGACCATAATATTGCAGTGCTCAATTTTGTAAGGAAAAGAGTGCATTTATTCTTACTTATTTTTTTTACAAAGGCACATAGGTTTATTTCAGTACAGTGTTCACAACAAGAGGCTCATTGGGCACATGCAATGAAAGCAGGCACTCTCACAGTGAGTTTGGCATAAAATTAAAACTTGCAATTGACAGACAAAAAAAAAGCGGCATGACATAACGAGCAACGGACAAATGCACCGATGGCACATGTGATACAGCACGTGATACAGCAGTCGTGAGCCACGTGAAACATTAGAAAGTGAAAATTCTAGAAAAGGAAAAAAAATATTCAAATAATTTGTATCGTTACAAAATGTTTATATTTCTTTAAAAATGTAATTGCGTACATGAGTAGACGTGAAAAGATTAACATACACAACATACCAACTGCTAACATTAACACATTAATGCAGAAACAAGCATGCCTTCATTTTTTTACAATTAAGCGTAACATTTCAATTTAACACGTAGGCTTTTGCAACCAATGATTCGTAATTGATTTAAGGGGTTACATCACGCAAGCCAAACGTGTGTCGTAAATCCTCCTCCAAATTGCTGCCAACTGCCTGACGATGCTGGTTGTAACTATCAGGAAAACGCCACACACCCAATTGTGAAAATTTGTGAGATTGCTCTCCGACACACTGGTTGCTTTATTACATTCACCGTGTCGGGTTTGCAACACACATTTGACTCAAGCGATTTTACCCAAAATCAATTACGAAGTGTAAAAAATATTTTTGTCAATAACCGCCAAGAAGATTGGCATTTAAGGCAGCAAAGTGAAAACATAAAGCAAAAAAGGTGGTGTTCTCAGGGCTTAATTTCAACTGTGGCATCTGTCCAAGTCAGAGACCAAGAAAATGTATTCGTACAAGGCAACACCACATCCGGTATACCTTTTCGCTTTGGTTGTGAATACTCGTTACATACCTCCTACTCCAGCCTACCGGTGACCGACAAAATATTCAGTGAGAAATTAAGCCCTTTATGTAATAACGAAAAACTTTCAAAAAGATACATTCCCACAATGGACATCCAGTTTTACATGAAACACTGCACATAAAGCATACAAATGACATATCAGAGAACTGCAGTTTGCAAAGCTTCCCCCCCAACCCCCATGTGCTAAATCTAAACTTTATACAAAAATACATATGGTAATAGAAAAAACACATATTTACAAACGTGTGCTTTTTTTACAAAAGGGAAACTGAGCATAAATGTAACGAGAGTATAAAACACGTGTGTGCAATACGGCAGAGGGGAGTTGGGGTACGACTGCCTTCACAAGGTCTCAAAAATACATTTTCTCAACAGCTACAAAAAAAGGAAACCTCTTGAAAATCTGGGTCACAATGCTTTTGTGAAATGCTCTAATTTACTTCAAGTTATTTTTTTCTTCTTTATGAATTGCTACTCCGTAATCAGTATTCAAAACTGTAAATTACACCAACGTAGTTATCATTGAATGGTTAACACTTGTGGAACAAAACAAACAAGAAAACAGTCACTTGTAATGGCAAAGACAGGCAGATCCAGGGTGTGTATATATTGTTATATATTTCACCTGGTGTTTCAGACCATGTGTGCCCACAACGACATTTCTCTCCCTGCGATGGCAATGCAGTGTGACTGGATACCAAGTAGTGTAAGAGCAAAGCGTGCATCACGTGCAGTCAACACCTAGACACGCACGGTACTCACAATGTTCCTGGCTCAGTGGCATAGCTATTGAGTGTGCAGGTGGTGCAACTGCGGCGGGTCCCACGACCCGGACAGCCCCAAGCACTGGGCTATGTAGAAGGGCGAAATTGGACAGGGGGGCCTTATTTCATTTCTTGCGTCAGGGCCCATGCCATCACTGCTTTGGTTTGTTCGATGCAGGAGTTGGAATATGTACTTGACCGTTGTGGCCAATGTTGCTGCAGAAACTGAAATGCTAATTATTTACGGTATCTCTTTATACGCAGACTACCGTCCCTTCCTCAACTCATCCAACATATGTGGAATTGCTGAAATTGACAGACGCAGTGCTAGGTGGGGCCCATGATCTAAAACGAAAGGAGGCCGAGAAGTTGAACAGGTAGGTTGCTTAAAATAATTACTGTCCTCGTTCAACAAAGCAACCATATTCTTGGTTCTTTCGGTAAAGTCACGTAGAAGGGAAACAATAAAAATATAAAACAATCAAATTCTCATGACGTTTCGACTGCAACACAAGCAATCATCATCAGGTGTGAAAACCAATCATCATCAGGTGTGCTGTGGTTTTCACACCTGATGATGATTGCTTGTGTTGCAGTCTAAACGTCGTGAGAATTTTTTTATATATATTTTTTATTGTTTTAATTATTTTATTGTTTCCCTTCTACGTGACTTTACCGAAAGAACCAAGAATATGAATCCCTGCAATCACGAAAGCTTTAAATCAACAAAGCAATCTTTATTTTGTGTCCTGCACATGTTTATTAAACTGGAAAGGACGGCATTCCTCTACCCGAAGCTGGCGCTTGTGGCAACACAAGCTTGTGCATATGCATATTGGTCTGTCGGAGGTAATGGGATCCGAAGGAATGTAAAAGTGACAGGAATTACTAGCTCCTCTCTGCTTAGCATCGTCCTTGCTGCAGGCTGGAACCGAAGACATCTCCCAGGTTTAAATTTCTCCATCTTTCACGCTCTAACCCTAGCAACCTCTCACCAAGGCACACACACCAAGAGACTCTTAGCATCTCTGGCATGTTAACACTCAACCTAGATTTTTCTTGTTTTAGGCATGAGAAGCTTGACGTATATATTATATTCTGATGTTGTCCTTGGACGATAGCTTCATTTTAAAATGACGTGGTAGCAGTCACTGTTTTCATCTGCAGAAAAGACACCAGAGCCACAGTTAGCTTCATGAGCTATGGATAAAGCATAGCGGCAAAAAATGATGTCAGATGATGAGAGTATGCAGTGTGCAATCATAAAGTTGTGAGTTCAAATCCGGATCGGGCCATTGACTTCGCGGAATTTCCACCAATGACTAAGTGTTGTAAATAAAATAGGTGAGGGGCATTGGCTTAGCCCATCATCACTTTGGGGTTGATAATTTGAGGAAAGTGCATGTAACATGGAAACATTTATCCCTGCCATATGATAGTGGAATTTCCTCCACTGGCTAGGTGCTTTAAATAGGAGGTGACGTTACCCCATATGCAACTGAGTGGGAAACCATTTTGACTTTTCACACAAAAAATATAAAAAACGCGATTTCACCATGTTGTATATTACACAAACAAATAAATTTACCTTTTACCATGTCGATTGCAAAGCAGGTCTCGTCTTGGAAATTTTGAATCATCTGTTTAAAAATAATAATATAATTATGTTTACATTATTACATTTATAACCAATATCCCTAAAAATTTAACATTTGTACATTTTAAACTTCACAGCATGAGTAACGCATGAGTACCAGCCATTTATTAACCACAAAGCGCCTGGAGGCACCATTTTCATAAAAAATGTTCTTCCGTCTGAACTATTAACCCGAGCCAGAGGCTTCAAACCACGCACTTGGCAAACGGCACAAAAAAGTGAAAAATCGTGCCCAGGCAACCCTTTGCTTCCAAAAATCTCCCTAATGGTGCATTTTTCCATCATTCCTTTATTGCGTTCACGTGCTAAATTAAGCTTCCAGTTAGCCATTATTGTTCAGCAATGGCCCACTGAGCACCAGTGACCGAAGGGAGACCAAAACAATAAACGCAATTACAAATGTCATTTGAAAAAAAAAAACGATATTACTTGTTTCAGAAACACTTGACTTCTTGGGAAATGAATTACCGTGTGTGTTTCATTCATGAACATCAAATATCTAGCTTGTTATTTGGGTAATTTTCCTTAAGGATCCTGTATTCAATCTCTGCGATATTAATGTTTTCGCAATATTTATTGCTGTGCTGATTCAGCACAACGGATCTCCCTTGTAAAGTAGCTGGGCGACTCGATAAACGTGATCATCCGTGTGACAAATAAAATAAAAGTCAAAATCAAAATACGAATACTGGGTTGCATATAAAACATGCAAACTTGCAGAAGGGGACATCACCAAGATGTGAAATAATTTGTTCAATAATTAATGCTAACAAACACTTCTTAGATTTGTCAGTGCTCATTATTATATTATCATCTGACAATCCATTCCAAATCTTGAGTACTTGAAAGCCTTCATACCCAAAGCATGGTTTTCGTTCTCAAAACGTCTTGAAATAGCAATCCAGTCAAAAGAATCACAATAACAAAATCTTGTCATTTAACACACAATTATGTTATTTTAAAAACCTTCACAACATTACCGAAACGCAAGAAAAGCCCTGCACTCGGTTCCAATAATCAGATATACACCATGCCGCGTGGAGACACCTTATCAATGAGATCATTGATGTTTGGAATGCCGCAGCTGCTGCTTCTGTCTGAGCTGTGTGGCCAGGCATGGGGGCTGGGCTGAGTAAGGGGGCGTTGAGTGCGTGCACCCGTGTGACCGAACAGGACGAGTGAGCATGACTGGACAGACGAGTGCATGCGTGCGCGTCACGATCCATACCTGATTGCTAACCAGGACGTGGATCCCCGTGGGTCCCTGCCGATACACGCTGCTGATGAGGTGGGGCACCATTGTGAAGAGAGTGGCAATTTTGTCCGTGAGTTCCAGGCTATTGAGCTCCTCCAGGTATATGGCATGGTACACTGCTTGAAAAAAAACACGGATAAAGATCTTTCGTTTAGCCTCATAGACTGCCGGGGCAACTGCTTTTCACAAGGGTCGATTATTAGGACCAGCATGGCACTGTAAGTAGGGGGTGGTGTGACCAGCACCACGCCCACCAATCTTTGTCGTCCCGTCTGCCGGTGTTCATACCCGTACACAAGGTACTCGTTTAAGGCTTAGTCAACCTAGGGGAGGCCCCGGACATATTCAGATACCACTGGGAACAGAACCCAGGTCACTGAGTTCATAGTACTGTACAGGGCCGCACCAACGCTCCCAAATCATGCGTGGATGTAACATTTTCCCATGTGGGACATTTCAGATTCACATCAATAAACAATGCAACACATTTGATTGAATGACTTTCAATTCATGTATACTACTTTACTTACACTACAGTATTTCCTAGGTGTGTATCTATGCATTGATTCATACATTAAAATACATTATTTTGCTCACAATACGTGCTATCAATCATATTTTAATTATATTCTTGGTTCTTTCGGTAAAGTCACGTAGAAGGGAAACAATAAAATAAGAACATTTTCTTGTTGTGGTTTTCACACCTGATGATGATTGTGTTGCAGTCGAAACGTCGTGATAATTTTATTGCTTTATATATATTTTTATTATTTTATTGTTTCCCTTCTACGTGACTTTATCGAAAGAACCAAGAATATGAATCCCTGCAGTCACGAAAGCTTTCAATCATATTTTAATTATTTGTCATTCATAACTTATGCACATTCTATGTACATAATAAGTGAATATAGATGTATGCAAATTAGGTGAACACAAACATTTCAAATGAGACCACAATAAGAAACTTAAACCTTTAAATCGTTGATTCCAGTAGGGGGGTTTGAGGATTCATCTCTAAATGCTCAATATTTGTTGTGTGTTACAATAAGATAAAAACACTCAACATTAACATTGCATGCTGTCCTCCAGACAGTCTCGTCCCTTCACCTGATGAAGGCCGCTTGTGTTGTGGCCGAAACGTCGTGATTTTTTGTTATTTTATTTTCACCTACGTGACTTTACCCAATAGAACCAAAGAGTATGGATCCTAGCAGTCACGAAAGCTTTTAATCTAGAACAGTCATTAGTTCCCTGGTATGGACCGCTGGTGCAGTGATTAGCACATTGCTCAATATTTCAACCGCCAGCCAGTGATGAACATCAGTGGCGAGTGATATCGAAATCGGTACTGGGAACCTCCCTTCACCAACCCACACTTATCAGTGGGGTGAAGTACGGTCCAACAATCACCATGTGTACATGTGGAGAGGTCTGCGTCCAGCAGTGAACTGGCAAACGGATGTAAATGCATCAGTTACCTTGCTGAGACTCCTGACAAACGTAGATCGTCAACCGTGGCCGCACAGACCTGTCGCATGAGATACATGAAAGGAGAGCTGTGAAGATGTGAAAAAAAACAGGAGGTTCCTTACCAACTAACAAATGGTTATTTTTTCAGAATCGCTGCACTTGCACAGACTGCGTAAGAACATCTTTGTATGTGTGGGCACGCGCAAGTGGGAGTGTTGCTCTCATCGTCAGACTTGCCATTCAACAGCGATGTTTGTATTTTGTGGGTTTTTGAGATTGATATCATACAACGCACATTTCCAGTGTGAATATGAAATTGGTCGTGAAGCATTACAAATTTTCACGCCGTGTTTATTTCAATTGATTTTTATCGAGCTATCACTTTGTGGCGCCTGCTTCCTCTGCGCATAAAGTTTAGATTTATTTATGGGAAACCAAAACAACTGACTGCCTACGATTAAATTCACCTGGAATGTGTCCCATCTCATCGTGGATGGGCAACCGCCATTCAGAGTGGGTGTTACAGGCTGCAAGAGCTACTATACGGGCAACAGAGGGCAGTGCAGCAGAAATCCACTGCTGTGCCGTACTTCGCTCCAATATCCACATTCCCTGCGTTCACCAACCCACACCGACCGGCGATACGGTCGAACAACCGCATCAAGCCTCGCGGTGCAGGGAAGCTCTCATCGAGCAGGAGATTGACAACAAGGCACTGAACTTGTACAAAACTATGCACGTGGGAAAGAGCACCAATAACAACAATAACAACAAAAACAACACCCGTCCACCAAACCCACAGGGTTCCGAAAGGGAATGCGTGCCGACGGTGCCGTTTGAGCGCCGGTTGGGGGTGGTGGGTGGGCGTCCACACCTCGCTTTGAGGGCGTTGTGGAGCCGAATTCCGTCAGCAGGGCCGCAGATCTGAATGAGGTCGTCCCTTGACAGCTTTAGCAGGTCGGCACCTGGAGGCAATGGGACAAAAGGGCATCAGCCACACGGTGGAGCAGGTGGTGGTGGGAGGGGAGGGGGCACGGGAACATGGAAAGAAAAATATATATCAAGGCGGTTTACTTTTACTCTGATCCTTTCATCTAAGGTCCACCGTTGTGGGGTTTCTCCAGGTACTCTGGTTTCCACCCACATGCCAAACATTAATGGAATTGGACAGAGATTATAATGCAGCACCCTCCTAAAAAGAACTCTGACCTTTTCACCTAAAGTCCACAGTCGGCAGCAACAACGCAGGCGATGACAAGGAGTACCGCTTTTTTTAAATAAATGGTTTGTTGTGTTCCCTGCGCAGACACACCGAGCGTGCTGTGCCCGAGACAGAATCCAGGCGGTGGTGAAGTGGTTTCACACCGTTTTTCCCACGTTACCCATAGCAGGCGTGGCTTGTTCACAAAGCCTAAATATAAACTCCCGTTTTCCCGTGAACTCAGTTGGCCACATAGGGTGTAAACTGGGGAGTGCTGGTGTTATATCATTCGGCACCACTGCATGCATGCTGGTCCGAGGGCTAAAAATAATGAGTCGAGTGAAAATAAAGATTATATTTTCTCATGAAATGTCAGGCAATTTGCCTTCTGCAGGAAAATAAATCTAGATTAAAATAAATAATCTTCATGGACTTTCAGGAATTGTATCGTCTTCTTGGAGCTCAGTCAGCTGAAATGTGGGGATCTCACAATTTGGTTGCATAAAACATCGTAAGTGAAATGATCATGAGATCATGATAGCTGCGATTACAAACTCATGGAAAATGTCACTTCATGGTGTGTAACGCAAGTGGCCACCATTTTTTTCACAGCTACTAAATTGACACAATAATAATGCCATTTTATTTTCTGGGAAAGACTCACAGAGTCTTAATACTGTTATTTTAAAGAGGGTCCTGCATTAGGATATTTGGCAAATTCTATGAATGGGTGTTTGTCATCTCGGAGGAAAACCAGAGAACATGGAGGACAGCCACACATGAGAAAATAAAACTCAAAGGATAACACCCAATAACACTCACAGATGTATTCAATACATCACCATGCTGCCACTTTCCTGGATATAAAATATATCAAGAATCATAATTTATTAAAAGTATTATTTTAATACTGGAGTTACAAAGAAATCAAATGAAATTTGCAGCGTCGAAGAAGCGGGGTTACCGGCAAAGTTGTTGAAGAGGCGAGAGAACTTGGCAAACCGGTTCTTGTGCAGCCATTGCTGGGTCTCTTGAATGGTGGCCGATGGAATGAGTTGCTGGGGAAGAAGGGGAGGAGCAGTAGAGGTTTAACATCTGCAAACAGGAGACAACAACTGTTTTTTGTGACCAAAAGAAGTTTAATCAAAAACAAGCATCAAATAAGAAAGAAACACACATGCCTGGCACCATGCTATATGTATATATACACACGTGTGTGTGTTGTGAGAATCGGTAGTGTCGTGGTTACGAATCCGGTGACCCGAGTTCGAGTCCCGATATTATTTGAACGGGTCCTGGGCCTCCCCTAAGTCTACTCAGTCTCAAATGAGGACTTGGTGTGGTGTATAAACATCGCCATTTGGGAGACAAAGGCGGTCGGGCGTGGTGCTGACCACCCAACCCCCTCATGTGCCTTTCCAGCCTTCATAGGTGCTCCCGAACAACACTTGCTCAAAAAGTCCGTGAAGACTATGCGGGGGATTTTTGTCTCTGTTGTGCACAGTGCGAGCTTCCAGGGCTCACCTCTCCTGTGGGTAACGGCAGCAGCCCATCTCCCTGGTGAATGGGTGACGACGACGAACAGTTTCCAGAGCTAATGAAAACAAAACAAAAAGTAAACTCCAGCTTTTGCTTTTTCTATTCCATTTCTCCCCTCCCCCCCTCCTCTGTACGAGCACAACAACAGCTTCCGTGCAATATAAAACAAAATTAGCTCGTGTCATATTTCGGCGTTGGTGAGAAGGAGAGCCGTCAAACGCAACACAATGTGAGGGTGGCGGGGAGGCCTTTGGACTCACGTTTCGGAGAGGCTGTAGCTCTGTTGGCTGGAGCAGAAGCTGGGCGTCGCAGGGGGACTGTTACTGAGGCACGAGTTGTCGGGCCACGGGGAGCACTGTGGGAAACGGGACAGACGCACGCAAGCGCCACATTGAATCCGTAGCTTTTTCAATGCATTTCTTTAGGGAGGTTCTTCACGGCCTGGGACAGGTGTAATAAGAGCTAAAGCTTCGACTTTTGCAAGCGTTACTCAACTGATGCGTGCCTGACATGGTTTGTGACCTTGCGCCCGAACAACTGCGCAACGCTACGGGCTGTGTTTACAGACAACCCACATGTGCACACACACACACTAACACACCCGTGTCGGGAACAGGGGCTAGGCAGATTTCATCTTGAGATTCAATCGGCTCCAGTTAAATATAGGCAGTTTGGGAACCTGCGAAAGAAAGAATGTAACGATGCGAGCTCAACATTCATTAGAATGCCCATATTATTGTTTGATTTTATTTGTCCGATTAAGAGCCAAGTGCTAGGAATTGTTCATTTGCCCGATTGTTGTGCGATATGAGAGAAAGCGAAATTCATAACACTGCGTTGTGCTCACCTCTGTCAGAATGGTGGTCTCGAACGAAGGCTGGTATTTTTCTTTTTCAAGTGGAGTTCTCTTCTCCATCTTTTCCCGGTCTGTTTTCTGCTTCCGGTCGGCTCCCTTTGGCTGCGGGGAGTATAAACACACGCGGAGTTGTCCTGTGAGCAGCAACAAACCACTTAAGTGAGTGCCCACAATATACGGAAAGGAATACGCTGCCCCTTGATGTGATGCGAGATACAGAGACCCCCGTTAAACAAAAAAGCATCGTTTAGCATCGCAGAGTTTTAATAAAGTTGTGACGTTACTTGCAACATCTGAATGTCACGATTCTGCCATCTGTTTATATGTTTTTGTGATTGCAGTGACTTTACTGTAAAAAGTAATTTTCAGGTTTCAATGTATTATTTGATCAATTATAATCATAATAAATTATTTATAAAATTATAATTTTACCAATTATAATCATCATTTATTATTGATACCGCACTACCCATGCAGTGCATCTCTAGGTGATTACAATTGGAAATTACCAATTATTTCTTATGCACCGTTTAGGCTAAATGACAATGACCATCATTTGTGTGCCAAAAATGTTGCCTTGCACAAGTTATGCAGTTCGGTGTGGCGAGTACACGGGGGTCTGAGTGGGAATCTCAGCACCCGGGGTTTCTAAGTAGGGACAACACTGTCGTTATTGACGATTCTACATAGTGGCACAATGCCACGAATTTGAAAATGATCAGGCTCGGCAGCAATTAGTTGCGTCATACTAGCCCACCCTCGAAGACACATCATGTGAGATTGGCATGAAAATAATGTGTCCCAACAAATTGCAATTGCGTTTATGAAACTACATGGACAGGCATTTTGCAATCCATCGCTGAATGAGGACTTCCCCAATCCGTCACCATCTCTCACGATTACACGATGCAATGATCCACCTAGCACCCACACACTGGCCGAATTCATCACTCCTACCTGCTCAGTTGACATCCTCTCGCACGTGTTCCATTCATTGGCTAGCATTTCATTAATAGTTCTTGATCGTCAGCTTGGTAAAATTACCAATACTAAAACTGTGATGACTAAAACTCGTTGTAAACATTGAGACCCCCCACTGAGCCTACCACCACCATGTACCTTCTAACACATTCTTGACCATTAACTCATGACCTTTCAGCCGTGATTCTTGCAAGCTCAACAGAATTGTGCAGGGTGGAATCATAATAATAAAAAAAATGTGCTTGAAATATCCTTTTTAAATAGCAGGCCATGAATGTGCAGTGTTAAAGGAAGTCTCTAACGTCACTGGAGGCTTGCAGCGTTTTTACATGCTTTCAAGCGACCCTGGATAATTTTACACCATAAACGGATTCCGTACATGAAACCCGGTTTAAAGTGTAGACTGCGCAGGTTATCTTCACCAGATCACAGAGAGAAACGTCCCCACTGAAGCCTTATCTTGCAATCACTGGCTTTACATTTCATACATCAGCGTTTTGTGCGTTACCCTCTCCCTCGCCACTAAATAGACGTCTCGAGAAACCCACGGCGAAGCAAATGATCACCTGATGCAGAGAACACGAAATCCCCTCGGGCAAGTAAGTATGTAAATAAAACAAGTAACGCGCATTCAATTTACTTTCTTGTATAAATAGAGGGCAGTGGTCGTGCAGTGGTTATCGAATGGCATTCTGGGTCTGGTTTGTACGAGTTTGATTCCCTGCCATAGCTAGTAGCATCAATGGCAAGTGATATACGAACTCATCCTACTGAACCCCTCACACCTTACCCCTCCCCTCTCCGCCCCCCACTTCAGCAACCAAAAATGTATCAGTCTGGCGAAGTATAATAATCCACATTTACCAAAATGTGACAAAGGGCTGTCAAATTATAAATCGTTATTATAGCAGTGTTGTTCAATATTTACTATGTCTGTGAAGTTGCATGTCCTTATAATGTTAGCCACCGTCATCTGTCACCAAAATCAAAATATAAATTGTTCCTTAGGTACCCAATCTGACTGTCACGGGCAACATTCACTTGTCGCAAGTATCAGAGTCGCTTAACGAAATTTGTCCCCAGGTGCTTTGAGACATTAAACAAAACAATATATTTTAAAACCATTTGTGTACTCTTGCTACACAATAAATCATTTTCGATTTTTCAAAATAAATTAGTGACACACCCTGGTTATTGCTGTGGATGTATCCACCGTAAAAAAAAATGTGATCAATGTTCTTCACAGTGGGATTTTATAAGATGCCGTAACGTAATTTGATAAAGTAGGCCAATTTATGTGCCAACGTCATGGTCAAAACTTGGCAAATATTGAAATTCCCGCAAATTACAAACTGGAATCTGCATCGCAATCATCGCTTTCCCCGACTGCAACAAAGCTTGACAGGATCCTCCCGAAAAAAGATTAATGAGAGTCAGGGGTGAGGGAAGCGTCAACATAAATAATAAAAGTGAAAGCTATCGCAAGACAATCAGAAGTAAATTGTTTTTTTAGGCCTAGTGAGCCTGTACATTACAAGTAGGAAACCCATAGCCAACAACGGAAGGGCATCTGGCAAGAACAGCCCCAAACTGGCTCAAACCGGCTGGGTAAGTGATCAAATGATGGCGGTGGACCTGTTGGGTCATAAAGAAGTTATAATAATAAAGAGAGGAACTGCATAATCTTTCCAAGCCATCTTATCACAATATTCGAGAGAGAAATAATGTATATCTGAGCAGAAATTAAATACATCAAGGGTTCTGATTGAGCGCTTCAAGCATTCTATCAAACATGTTCGACAAGTACACCTTCAGATGAAACACTCATCACTGTGAGTGCGTTGGGTGCTCGGTGCATGCGTGCGCGCGTGTGTGCATTCTGGTGTGCAGGGTATCAGTTGAATTTATATCAGTCGGGAAAAAAAAGGCACGGTTCTCATGATTTTGTTGATTTCTTGGCCATATGACAGATCAACTCACCTCTCTGCAAATCCTAATCTAGCGCGTTGGTGTTTAAACACAACTTGAATAGGAGCACCCCAACAAATGCTCTCGATGACAGTTCCTATAAGCAAGTTGAGCTGAGCGATGCTCTTGCGGGGATATGTAAAGTCACAGGGCTTTGGATGCATTTCACCAATGTGAGTTTTGTACAGCTTCGGGGATTAAATGACAGTGTTGAAATAACCCCACGGAAGAATAGTGGCACGTGAAATAAATTGTTGTGGAGTATTTAAAGTGGGAGTTCACGGAACTGCTAACATTTATAAACATCGACGGCTAAGGTTTGTGGTTATGGTATTACACGCATTACTTTGGGATAATTTTAAGACATCCATTTGTGTGTGAAAATTCTGTTGTGTTATAGACCATGTTATATTTTAATTTCATAAAGCTCCACTCTTATGAGTTAATATTATGACATTTCTATGGTATCGTGCATTGCTGTGCAAGTGTGAATTATGCATTATAAGTCGAGTATTGTTATGATGATGACATCGATAATATATAAATGGCAATGATGACAATAAGGAAGATAATTAAATTCACACACATGCAATTGCTCATCATAACTGACATCTCTTGCATGTTTACACATATTTACATGTTTACATGTGTACTAGCTATGTTTTGTTTCCCCCCAAATGTATTTTCAACAAATATAAACATAAATATAGTCGTATTGGTGTAGAGGGTGCAGCAAAAGTCAAAAAACCATATGAGCCACACGTCAAATGTCAAAAGGTGAAAATACGAGTTGAGAGCACTGCTCCAGTCCATGTGGAACGCGTTGAGGAACATTCACGCATCCTATGTGACACACATTGAGACGCTTGTCCAAGTGAGTTGCTTTAAATTTATATTAATTCGGTATATTAGGTGTTTGCGCCATTCTTATAGCACAGAGGCTATCACAAAGGCGCTATGTTTCGCACGTGACCAAAGTCTGCCACCATGGCGACATATTGTTACGTATTTTTTTCCAATGAGATCATTTGCAAACAATTTTCATATTTAGCAAAGCTGGACCATAACACCTGTGCACAATGGCCACTCTTTTCGAATAACATCGCACAGGATCTTTAACATCCACTATGAAGCAGCCGTAATGTTTTTTTTTTATATTCAACCGCAATATTAACCAGGGTGGTCGCCGGGCTCAAACCGCGAACCTCTCTGTAACAAGCGGCAAATGCATTATCGCTCGGCCAGGGTCTCAGCCCTGTTTGCTGTTCACACGTGTGGTTCCTGATTTCTCCACACCCCGTTATGTTGAGGCTGTATGTGTGTAATGTGTGTGTCAAACAAAAAGAAAGGTCCCATATTGTAGTTGCTCACCCCGAGCTATAAATACCCTGACAGTGGCATTCTCTTTGTGGTGTTCGCCTTTTGGCATTCTCTGGTCGAACACTTTAAGACTAGGCCCTAAAGAAAGCTGTCTCTGGTGAGGACCAATCAGTTTCAAGACAATGCATCAGAGCATGTTTTTGTTTGCATGTTCACCACAAGTATATGTGGTTAATGCAGACAGGATTCCTTGAAAAAGGCTTCTGTTTGGTGTTTTAACATCTTAACACCTGTTTTATTTCCAGAAAGGGTTAAACTTATTCTTTTCGTGTAATGTGTTATGTTTGGGGAGCAGTGGTGTCGCGGTTAGCGCGCTGTGCGACGAACCCGGCGACCCAAGTTAAATTCCTGCTCGCGGCCAACACCTGTGACGATTACCTGAACTGGTGCTGGGCCTCTCCTGGGTCAACTCAGCCTCAAATTAGTACCTGGTGCCGTGTGTAAACATCATCACTTGGGAGACAAAGGCGGCCGGGCATGGTGCTGGCCACCCACCACGTCGTGTGCCGTGCCGGCCTTCACAGGCCCTCGTTAACGACACATGCCCCAACAGTCTGTTAAGGCTATACGGGGGATCTTTCTCTTTGTCATGTTAGCGCACACACACGCACACAGCCTTAAGGATTCGGTGTGTCCTCACCTTGAACACCTTGACCTGGCAGCTGGCAGAGTGCAGGTGCTCTGTGTATTCCCCACTCTCGTCCTGCTTGAATGTATCGAACTGGATTCGGAAGGGCACCCCCTTCTCACCGCCATGCTTGCGGGGCGTGAACTCCGTGCTGATGCAGTTCACCTGTATGCAGGTCACATCACGTGACATCGAGGAAAGCCGCCGGATTATTTGGTTTTCCGTGTTGCCAGTTTTTTTTATCGACAAACGCTTTAAAGGAGCTATCTAAACGACCGTGGTCGCTGCTAACATTTATCTGACACTGTCGAACCGGTATCACATTACGAACTTGAGTCATGCAATTGCTTCCACGTCTGGATTTCAGTCAGCACTTTTTATTTGCAGTGAGGAATTTTAAATATGAGCACGATTTGTGATAAGAGCGTACGAGTGACATTAATGTACCACCCAAGATAATTTGTACGAATTGTTGTGTGAAAGATACATGAAGGATGTGCACAGTTTAAAGATTCTTGCAGTAGTCTTACAGAAACCGCAGTATGAATGGGATATATTATTATTACTAGCCTTTTGCACGTCCAAGGACGGGTGTATTGCAGTAAATCTGAGACTTGCAAGCGAAAAGCAGACCGCGACGTGATATATTCATTGCATCAACTCGTGTGCAATTTGTAAGGGCGCGGTGACACAGACTTACTTCATTTTAAGGGGGTTCTGCCTTTGTAGTGAGGGTTGTAAGTTGACGCTGAGGAGGGGGCAGGTGGCGCCTCGCCCCCCCCCCCCCCCATGTGGAGTGACGTCACCCGCTAATTATTATTAATGTAGAGGGGTGTCCATTTGGAGGACGTCACCTGTTCATGATTATTAATTAGGGGGCTGTTTCATGTGGAGTGACGTCACCTGCTCATGATTTTTAATGAGGGGTTCTCCATTCGGAGTGCCGTCACCCACTCATTATTAATAATGAGGGGCGGGTCCATGTGGAGGACGTAACCTGTTCATCATGATTTATGAGGGGGGCTGGTCGACGTGGAGTGACGTCACGAGCATTACACACTGACATTCTTGGGTAAATATAGTAGTAAATTGCCGGGGAGTGGAGCGTTTACACAGTAGTTAGCACACTACGCTTATGACCGGAGTTCAATTCCCACACTGATTGGCGTCGGTGTGGGAATAATATCTAAACCATTCCTGAACCTGCTCCCTTCCTTCACCAACCCACCCTGGCCACCATGGTCAAACAATCCCCATGAGTGACATGGCATGTAAAGGTTGTCATCCACCGGTGGATTGACAAAGGGCTATAAATATTATTTATTACGATGATTATTAATTCAGAGTTATCGGATGGTCGAGCTCAGTACTGGCCTGGCCGTGTTACCTGGATGAAGGCGGAGGAGCGCTTGGTTGGGTCCCAGAGGAACTCGACGGTGTTGAGCTGAGTGGGGTTCGTGCGTGGGTCCACAATCCCCACGGAGAGCGGCACGTCTAACCATGTGTGGAAGAAATACGGCAACGAATTAACAAAAACATATCAGCCACAGCAAGGGCGAGGGATACATTACCATATTTTTTAGCACAGATTCACTGGTTAATAGTGTGGGTGCGCCAAAAATGTGTGCCGTCTGCTGCTTCAACAGTGAATGTTACAGATCCTGTAACAGGTCATGTGTGCCAACGTTATAGTCCACATTTGAAAATGACATGTAAATGACCTAACTGGATAAAGCAATATAGCAACGGCGCTTCCTCCCGTGAAGCTATTGCAGACCATGGCTCTCTGTGAAACAGTGCCTTCGTGATGGACTTGCACTATAAGATGGGGGCAAATAGCAAAATGATTCTTCTTCTTTCGTATGACATAATGAAAAAGCAAAAGTTTTGATGCATGTTATAGTTGAATGTTCAGTTTTGTCAACCAATCCAAGGAGGCAGTAGGCAGCTACACTGCCAAGATGTGCAACAATGTCGTGTTCATCAGTGACGTGTTTGTTCATTTGACTTGCTCTAATTCTAACACCAACCCTATTTAGGTCCAGTGTGCACATGTAATACAGAAGCAGGTAGTCAGCGCTGCATCCTGCCACCTTCTCTAACAAAGATGCTCAAAGTGTGGCATCCTTGATAAAATCCCACTGCAGGAGGAGACTGTTAGAACCTCTGGTGGTTTGGGTGGATATATTTTATCTCTAGCTGCAAAAATCCTCAAAAAATAATTTTAAAAAGTACGTTTTTCACAATGCTGGCTGGACACCCCCCAGGCGGTGATATTCGGCGGAAAGATTAAAGAAATTGATAGCGTGCCACATTTTTGTTCCGCAGTGCTTACCAGCGCAATACTGCTGGGCTCTTTGAATGGCATGCAGAGCAAATGCTGACTTGCAATTTCAGGCCCAGTCAACGTCTAGGAGATTCCTAAGAGATTTGGTGGATATGCATGGCATTTCTTTTTTGAATTTGTCACCTCGGGAGCTCGAAGAAGTGAAGCCTTAATTCTGAGAATTGGAGATCCATTGGTCACTAGTGGTGGCTGCCAGGTAAGACTTTTGGTGGACTGCTGTGAGAAGGAATGGGGCTATTTTTTTCTCCAGGTGTGGAATTATTTTCACCCCTTTTGCTAAATTAATTAATTGGCGAAGGATGGCAGCGCTCGGTGGGAGTGGCTCGAGTCGGTCAAGGAGATTCCGAAATTTGCATCTCATTGGGGTAGACAAAGCTGCCACACACCCCCCCCCACCCATATTTTGAATCGATTTAAATAAATATTATTTTTTAATTACGTTCATGATTTAATTTTTTTGGGTGGGGGCACCACCCCCTATGCCGCAGAAAAAAATAGGGGCGGCTTTTTGACATAAAGTCGGTTCTGCAGTTGGCAAAACCGTGGCAATTACCAATGTCAAGAATGCGGTCTCCTGGGCGATTCCAGCGCCAACCCTCCAGCTGCTGGTGCTCCGTGTACTGCAGCCGCCGGTCGTGGAACACAACGCGCACGATGCTCTGCACATGAGCACACACGCCCAGCAACGCCAACCGTGAGATACAAGGCCACCGATAAATGCCTGAGGGTGGGTGCAAACTACTGGGGGTAGTGTCCTGCGGTTGCTCTCACACCGGAGTCTGGTATTATGGGGATGGTCTCGTTGTATTTGTACGTGTTTGGGTGCTTTGTTAACCTTTGTTGTACTTTGCACTACTATCGTGTTTTGTTTTGTTGTTGTAACGTTCTTACCCGCCCCTACTGGACATCTGTGAAAAATAACTCCGTAGCGCATCGGATGCCTCCGGTATAAATAAATATTTGGATTCTGAAGCGGATAAAAAAAAGAGGGCAATCTCAAGCACATTTGAGCTTTTCGTTTTTATTCTCATTCGTTGTGCATAATGTCTATACTGTATTATTTTTTTTACATTCTATCATCTGGTCTGCAATCACTTCCATCCTGAAAATGTATCACAGATACACCTTTGTTCTGGCTACATTGAGATGTACTGCGTGGGAGGCTCGGTGTAAATAATAGATGACGGTCAGACCCCAGATTGTGCACTAAGGAGACAGCGGGTGCCGAGGAGGTGTGATGAGCCACGCTCATGATTTACGCCCTGCGCTCGCTGCGAGCGATCCAGAAGGGTGCAGCAGATGCCAGCGACTGCAATTCTCAACCAGGGCAATGTTTTGTTATTTGTTATTGTATCCAATGTACCCAGTGTGATTAGAAGGAAGATGATTATTCATCGCAATACATTACTCTTATCTTATATCACACATGGGGACGTAAGTTATCGTGCGCATTCTTTGCTACCATCAAGAAAAGGTTGCCAAATCAGTTAATGACGTTTATATTTAAATAAAACAGGATGGACTTTAGTCAAACGCCAAACTCAGGCACAGTTCCAGGGCTGATGGATAGGGGAGCGAGGGAGCGGTGGGGGGTAGTTGGTTTGCAAGGGTGGAAGGTGGGAAACGCGGCCCAAGAACAGCGCGTCCTTGTGGCGTGCATCTGCCGGTTTGTTTTCAGCGTGCCTTTTGAGAGACGGTGGCTGCGAGCATTACCTTCACGAGCTTCCCGTTGAGCTCAGCCAACTCCCCGATCTTCCTGTTGTCCAGCAAACGCACTTCGTACGACTGCCCTACGCAAGTGTAGGGACGGCACGGCAAGAAACAGGAGAGATGGCACAGCGTAAACAAGGCAGAACGGTACCGCTCGCTCTTCTCCAATTTTAATGGGCCAAAAAACATCAGCGGGAGAACTGGTATTGTGGGCTGCGCGTCCGTGGACAGACCGTTCCGAAATGTCTTGGCAGTGACGGCGGTTAACGTAAACTCACGATGAGTTGTAACACCGCTTCTCAGCCGTTTGGCACAGTGCAGTTATTTGTTTCAAGCGTAGTAGCTGATGCGTACCACGTTGGGATTGCCTGTATCAATGGGGCTTGCCCACTGTTTACGTACGGTGTCTTGATGTGCGGTAGCACTTAGATGCTATGTACATCTACGTTGTATTGTACTCTGTCCAGATGTAATGGTGCAGGAAACATTGGACACTGGATATTACTGTGGGTTAAATGTCACAGTGATATGGCCTGAGATATAGGTATGTGGCATTAAAAACAAAGTTGCAAAGAAGTTAAATGACATAATAAATCCTGCCTTATTTTTTATTACATTTTTTTTACTTCATGAACCTTAGTTGGATTCATAATATTTTCGAGAAGAATTAAAAGATGGCTTGGGCACGTGTTGAGATGAGACAGAGAAGATGCGTTTAGAAGAACTATGGAGATGTCATCAGTGCAGGGTGGCAGGAGGAAAGGGAGACCGAGGGTGAGAGGGAAGGATGCTATGAAACGAGATGTGAGGAGAGTGGATGTGACAACAGAAGAGGCACAGAATAGCTGCTCATGGGGAAAAAAAATGCAAGTAGCCAACCCCAGGCAATAATGGGAACTTCTGGCATTAATGTGCTCCCTCTCATTCGGGTCAAAGATCAAACAAAACCTGAGCCACGGTTCAATCCCCCCATTCGCGCAGCCAGGCACAACGGGGGTGCGCTTACCCAAGTCAGCGCGGCTGCTAGGTCAGGCTGTTCTGGCGCTACCGGGCCGCATCGGTTGCCACGTTAACAACCCCTAAACACTGCGACGCGCGAGATGGTGCGATTTCCAACTTTTGGGAATAAATGAGTGAGAGGCACCGACGGCAACAAAGCGACGCGTGGCCACCGACACGAGCGAGCGTGCGCCGGGGCGCAGGGAGCGCAGCTCACTCACGACATAAACACGATGCCACAGTTGGCATCGTGCGGTGGAAGCAATTGCAGCATAATGCAATGGGGAACGTAAAAAAACAAATCACACACACGCCAAGATAAATAAATTATTAACCGACCGCTACGCATCATTTTTACTTCCTGATAGCGTGTGCCTAACGATGTCGTTGCTATGTGGTACCAGCATTTTACGCTCGAGCGGGATTGCCCAACGATGAAATCTAAGAGCGTGCGCTCGTAAAGTGCACTCATGCCCATCGAGTCCTCCTTCCCTTCCCGAGCTCATGCAGGTGCTCTCTGCGTTCTAGTCGTGGAATCCATCAACTTTATTCCACTCCATGTGTTGTTTTTTGTGCATACCGTACACAATCACACGCGGTACACCACCTGTGCAGCCGAGGCAGTGCCCACATGCTGGTGCAGACTGCGTGGACACCCGTGACCGACATCATCACAGGTAGCTTTATTAATCTGCTGTCAAAGCGCGAAAGGCATTCAATATCCAGAGGCTGAGCTGTCAGCACGGGCGAGAGAGAGAGAGACGGTGAAACCAGAAACACTTCACGGAGGTGGCGTTTGATGCATGTTTTCAGGGGAGGACAGCGAGAAGAAGGACTGAGACTCGACTTAATTACCACCCTGCACCCAATACCTGGCTCCACGTGAGCCAGAAATCAGCACAAATGTCAGTCTGGCCAGACTCCGTAATATTAATGGCGCTGCTAAACTGACAGAAATATGCACTTTAGTGCTGTAAAACGCCACCTCTACTGAACATGACCACACTCAAGCCCTGAAATCGTTGAGTCGTGTCCTTTGGGACTGCAAAGAGCACGTAAAACTTTGTCCGGCACAAAGTCTCAGGTAATAACGTGGACTGGTCTCATGCTACCCTTTGCTCTGAACATAAAGCTTTTTAAAAACGAAATCAACATGGGTCATCTCTGGTTACTGCTACATCACTTGTATTTCATCTGAACATTCGGAACCCCGTGGACAAACAGCGTTATCAGGAGGTGGGGCTGACGGTCAATTAGCATTGTGTGTGTAACTTACGTTGCACAAGTCAATTGTAAATCGGACACTGAGGGACGCCAACGTCACACAAAAGCTTCTAGCTCAGCGTTTCACGTGGATCGTGTCAAACAACCCCATGAGAAAACTGAGATTATATGGCAACGAGCACAGATGTGACAGTTGCCTTACCTGTGCCGAGTGCCCTATATGCGTCCATGGAAGGAACATGCAACCCAACAAAACTAAAAACTCTGATAATGATAGGTACGTCTGATGCGTCTTTAAATGTTAAATATGTTAAAGTTAGAATTGCATTATTACGGCTCTCTAATACATCAATGCAGTGACATCAGTCGACTGCTATGAGAGAGCAGCTGGCCACGATTCAATTTCATTAGCCATGATATATCCACTGCTGGATGAAGGCCATCTCTCACAGTCACGTGATGCAACAGTCAATTTAGCTGCCCGTCGATTAAATGTTTTAAAAAAAATTCGAAATATTTTTTTTTCATATAGAAAGTTTAAATGTCTCGGACAGCCTGGGACCCAGGGCCTGAATAGCTACAAGATCGGGGCCATTCGTTTTTGGTTGGTTTCTCTCTTCCCTGAAGATGGGTGTGATCAGGGCTTCATTTCAGTCAGCTTTGTCTGGAGGCCGACCTGGAATAACACTTCCGCAGCTGGTACACAAATCCTCTCCGCGTGCCCGTGGTCGCCAGTCACATGCCACCTACTCCAGTATACCAACGACGCAGAAAACATTCGGTCAGTCGGCGGGCAGCAGCACCGCGTACCCTGGTTGAGGTAGGTGAGCGTCTCTTCGTGCAGCTTGATGGCCGGCGAGCTGGCCGCGCACATCACGTACTGGAGCGGCGGCGACTTGGAGTCTGGCTCGCTGGGCATGTTGCTCTCCTCCTGCTTGAAGATGGGCAGCGCCAACACGTCTCTGCAGGCGTGCACACACACAAAGAAGAGCGTGGGGAAAATTAAAACAATGCACGCGCCGCGGCTATGGAGGTGAAGGGGGTGGGGGAAGGTGACACGTGCAGTCATCATAGGTGGCTGCCGCAGACTGCTGAGAGCTAAGCATTTTTTGGGGGGGCAAAATTTTATTTCGCGGCGCTCGCTTCAGGCTGACAGCTTTTCAGAACGCTTGAACAACAATCCATGTCCGCAATCTCTCCATCGGCGGCAGGGGCAGCTCGACCCAGACTGTGCGGACGCAGCCCGTCAGCACCGTCACTCGTCGCGCCCGTCACTCCGCGGAGTCAGAGGCGAGTGGCATCGACCCCCACCACCACCACCCCCCCCCCCCCCCCCCCCCCCCCGGACAGCGCCACACGCCGCAAAAGCAAAGTTCGCTCGCTCGCTCGCACGGCATGACCAAACAATGCAGGCTGGCTATTACATAATCCGATTAAACTTTTCGAGATCGTATCATGGCCAAAGCTGTTGATGCCACCATGCCGACGCTTTATATCTTTACACTTTAAACGATGTTCATTAGGGGGAGCGAGCGGGCGGGCGGGCGGGCGGTGGCATGACGGTTAGCACACAACCGTGCCATGAACCATACTACCCGAGTTTGAATCCCGCCCACGGCTAACATCAGTGGTGAGTGATATCTGAACCAATATTGGATCCTCCCTCTTTTTACCAACTCACACTGGCCAGTGTTGTGTTCAGTCAAAACAACCCTCATGACCAATAGGGGGTGAGGAGGAGACCTTGATCCAGAAGTGGATTGGCCAAGGGCCATACATGACGATTATTAATATTCGCCATCATTCAACACAGCTTTCCCAAGTCGCCACTCTGTTCCACATTCCTGCGAGGAAAATATCCATCTAGAATCTGCACACGAGCTGATTTATGACTTAATTGCTTAGTGTAATTGTTTAAAAACTAATTGTGTGAATATTATACAATTGAACTGTATTATAACTGAATTTTAACTTTAAGGTGATTGATCAGTGTGACTATGCTATTGAAAATGTACCTTGCACCGCATTTTTTACGTTTTCATGAAATCTTATATCGTAACAAGCTTACGTTTTACTGACAGTGTAAATGTTGCGCGAAATGTCAAAGTCTACTCTGCAAGTGGCCACCAGAACCTCCATCCTCCAGATAATGGGGAGAGGTAAAAGTTTAATTGAAATCTTAACTGCTATTCAAATTAACTTGTTTCATTGCTATTAAGCGTAACGTATCATATTATTTAAAAACTCAAACTCGTGAACAACACTGCCTTATCATCATGAGACCTCCCTTGCCAGTATCAAAATATAAGAATAGGTTTTACCCTTTCTGGCAATAAAACAGTTTGTGTTAAGATGTTCAAACACCCAACATGAAACTTTTTGCAAGGAATCCCGTCTGCATCAACCACATGGTACTCGTATTGAACATGCAAACAAAAACATGCTCTGGTAGTATGTGCATTGTCTGTAAAACTGATGGTCCACACCAGAGACAGCTTTCTTTAGAGCCTAGTCTCAAACAGTGTTAACACAATCGGCTTTCGCAAACCAATGTCTTGATTTTTTTAAAATATATATTTGTGTTCGGCCACGAAATGATCTTACCAAATCTGCGTCGTGAAGGCCATCCACCATCTGACATAGCCAAACAAATTGTCCCATGTGCCACACACGAATTTAACACCAACCCAAATAGTTATTGATTCAGCTCGCCCGTCAATAAAAGCTAGCATCAGATACGACGATTTGTTGAAAACTACATCAAATATAACCAGGACAAGATCCAGGAAGTCAGGATAACAAGCCATGAAGTCAGAATAAATTAATTGTGGTACTTTTAAACATGGAGATATAATTTATCTTATCAGTAAGAAATGAATGTTCGTTTTGTTTTGGGACAAACATAACCTCTGGTTTGCGCCAAATATTGAGATTGAGATTAAAGCTGATAATTAGCTTACTTATTTTGGCTTGTTTTTTTATAAATCATACAATTATATAGACTTTGATTTCAAAAATGTAAGAAGCATGAGGGCGACTCACGAAAATGGCAAGATGAAAAAATATAAATGAATAGCGATGGAAAATGGATAATGGCGGATGATGATGCGTGGTGACGCTGCCGATGATAATGCTGCCGATGATGGTGGTACTGCTGCAGCCAATAATGATTGTACTAACAGTGCTCTGATGATGATGATGATCATGATGGCACGGCTGCTACTGCAGCAGCTCATTATAGCTCATCAGATTTATTCATAACTCATCGGATTCCTCCAGGATAAATAAATATAATGATTCTTATGATGTCAGTCGAGCGTTAAATGTCACCCTAGGCTGAACGTGGCGGTGTTCAACTCGTTTACAAAAGCAACTCAGCACGGAGGCACAGCCACTGCATCCAGCCTGGAATTGCACACAGGCTCTCTCCTGACACCAATGCCACAGTGTTCAGCGCGCTGCCACCCAACCCATCACCACCTCTGCCCGTCTGGCACAGCTGATAAGGGGATGCACGTGTGACGACACCAATTTAAAGGACGTCGCCCGCTTCCCAACGTTGCCCTCCCCCCACCTGCCCCCCATGGTGAATTCACGCAGCCGCGGGCCAATACGGGGTAATCATTCGTGTCGTTCAAGCTCCGTGTTACCAATGCGCCAAGCGCGGTGCTTTGATGACCCAATTAACGCGCCCACACGCAAGGTTCAGGTTAAATGAAGTTAGTCAAAGATTTGATTTGTTTCCTTAAGCTAATAAGCGGCGCGTAGAGGAGGTTAATTATTCATTGAAAAGTTGGGGGATTTTTTTTTGTACTACATTTTTGAGTAACGCGCGTACGTACGGCCCTTTATGCAGCAAGACGAGTAACTAACGACACGTGGCTGTGCGCGCGTCCTGCGTGCGTGCGCGTACCGTGAACACGGCTACCCGAGTTCGATTATCCCGCTCACGACCAAGAGCAGTGGCGAATATTTGAACCGGTCCTGTGCCTTCCTTAGGTCGTCTCAGCCGTAAATGAGTACTGTAGCTGGTGCGGTGCAACCACGTGAACACTGGGGACACAAAGCAGGATTTAATAGGTGCTTGCCAACAGCACTTTCCCCAACGGTCTTTTATAGGCTACATGGGGGATCTTTGTCTTTTTTAATTTGACCAGAAAAAAAACGAAACACCATGTATCATGTTATAGACAGCTCAGTTGTAGATATGTTATTAGCCACATTAAAATATTGTGAAAGGTAATATTGCTACGACTTAATGTACTGTATTGTGAGTAAAATGTTAAACTTTTAACGTGCATAGTTTTTATCATTACAAGTAATATTTTAAAGAACTGTTAATCCACTGCTGGATGAAGGCCTCTGGCTGAGTTCATGGCGCAATGCGCTCGCCCGCCCCTACGTTCACACACCAACTACACTTTGAGTTGATTTAGACTATTGCGCCCAAGCGCTTCATTGACTATATGTATTAGTCAGATGTGGTATCTATCCACTTAATGAATTGAGCGCTGTACTTAAGCATTTATTCAGAACGTATTACTGGCGCCTCAAGAAGAGCGATGTGACTAACAATGGACCATTTGTCGTCACTGATTTTTTTTCTCCCCAATAAACATTAAGTGTTATACGTGTATAAAGACACGATTACACTCCCTTTACATACGGATGGTTTGTTTCAAGCACTGTTCCCGGCCAGACTCGACCGATGAATAAGCAGAACATCGACCTCCTTACTCGTTTGGTTCTTTCTACCTCCTTCCCACGTCTGTCCCTCGACAAAAGACAAGACGGGCATTTTGTAGACGTCTCATCATCCACGCGGGCCCGCTGGGAGTGCGTCTTTTATCAGCAGGATTTTGGTTCAACACAAGCGAAACTGTGGACCGGTTTCGACATTCAGTGTGCCATCAGCAAGTCACGAAGCGTATTGGAGACTGGTGAAATAACCGACGCGAGCAGTGGGTTGACAAAAGGGCCGTGCAGAATGCTTGTTACAATTGTGGATTTTAGTGATGTGCATTGTTTCATGTGTTTTTAGAAAGAACGTGGTTTTTTTTTTGGTAATGTTCGATGAAACTCTAAATTGTAATATTTAGTACCGCACTTAAGCAGGTGATTTAATCGCGTGCTTTCAATGGGATACAAAGGCCACCGCGGATAAATCGTGCAACCAATACACAAGCCCATAAGCCGACAGCCCCGAATTCGTTGCGACAAAAAATGGAACAGCCTAAAATAATCAATTGGCGTTTGATCGAAGCGGCTCTCGTACAACACGTGAAGTATGGTGGACACTGGGGGATGGGGTGGTGGGACACGTCAGACGACGTCTTTAGCGAGCGTTTCAAGACAATCACCGGCTCGGATGTTAATGCGCAAAAAAGCGCACTCAGCACCGCGATCTCTGCGGGCCGTGTAAATCAACCCGGCCCGTTTGAAGATCGCTAATGAGCGCAGGGGGGGGGGGGGGGTGCGGGGAAGTCGAGCCCACCACCACCACCATCATCATCCTCCATGTGAACACGGGAGCTCCGTTTCATGTGCGGAGACGCGGGCGTAACCCCCGCTGGTGGCCCTCGCTCACCTGCCCCCGAGAGGCGCCACGCTATCGGGCCGCACATCTCGGCAGTAAAATGTAGCACGGGGGGGACAGCGCAACGGACGGGCTCAATAAATACAAATCAGGAGTCGTAAATCAACAAACCGCGCCACGCACCCTTCTCCGTCTCTCTCTCTCTGCAGTGGTTGGCCGCGGAGGATTTATTTTTGTATTTCACCAGGTAAGGCTCAATGAGCTAAATGGCTCTTTTTCAGGAACGACCCGGCCACAAATGATAGCTCGAGGGGGTCGGTAACCCGCGGTTCCGGAGCCGCACGCGGCTCTTTAAAGACTGCTTCGTGACGTTATTTAGTAAGGATCACCGTCTCGTATTCACCACTACAGTGCATTGCAGCTCTTGAAAGAGTTTTTTTTTACCGAATTCTAAAAGAAAATGCCTCTTCTTGTTAATTTGGTTGCCGACCTCTGTGATTGCTCAACGAAGTAGCTTGTCATCAATGTGTACATTTATAGCAGCCAAATACTCTAAACGCATGTTTCTAAATGTGGAGGGAAAAAACCGGAGGACCCGGAAAAAAAATCCACGTAATTACGGGGAGAACATGCAAACTCCAAATATACAACCAGGCGTCAGGGTCGGGATCGAACCGACGTCCTCCTGTATAGCAGGCGAGGTAATTAACATCTCTCCACCGTGGCACCCCAACTCGTAAACCTTCTGTCTTATTTAAAATGTGAATAGGTAAAGCGAAATGCATGTTCCTGAGTGAGCATCTCGACCGTGGCTGTGAGAGTGGCTGTGAGGGTGGCTGTGAGGGTATAAGAGTGGATCGTGTTAAAGTGGGGCTGGTTATTGGGATCGGCGGAGGAAACCAAAGTTTGGACACAATTGATTTTCAGTAACAGTTTAGTCAAGGTATACACAAAGACTGTTGGGGCAAGTGATGTGAGCAAGAACCTATGAAGGCCAATATATATACAATATTAAGGTGTAATACAACACAATATGAGTCTGCAGTCCTAATTAGGGATGCCTTCATTCAGCAGTGGACTGACAAATTAAGTTTGTGTTAATCAGCTGTTGGATAAAGGCCTCCAAACACCGCGTCGGATGTTTGACCATACTTCACCACACTGGGCAGTGTGGATTGGCAGAGATGGAGGTTCAGATTATAACTCGCCACTAATGCTGGACGGCGGTCGGGAATCGAACTCAGGTACCCGGGTTTATAGCGGAGTGCGCTAATCACTGCGCCACCGATCCCCGCACACAGACACATGCACGTATTGTAACCAGGTCAAGAGCGTATTCAGACAAATTCGATTTGGCAAAGGTGACCTCGGTTACAGACAGAGCCTTAGTTAACAATTTAACATTCAGCGCCACTGTACAACACCCATGGACATTATTAGTACTGTGATAATGAAACCGCGTTTCTGTGACATTTCCATAAAGAATCTAACTCAAACAAAATACATTCCAATTTCATTATCATGCTGAGACACGGAGATCCTTTCAAACGGCGACATAATTGTTTTTCGTTGACAAAGAAAATATATGCATTTATAAAACGTCCACGTTTGAACCAGATATCACTCGCCTTTGATGTTCGCCTTGAGCGGGAATCGAACGGCTTGAAGCTTTACTCGAAATTGATGATCATCATCTAAACATCGAAAATCGTCCACAACGTGCTTGCCACACTGGGGTCAGCGTGAATCCTCTTCATTAACTCACCATTAACCGTGCACTAAAGCGGTCTCCTGGGTCGACATAAAGCGAACAACCACCGCGTCCCAAGCACACGCGTCTTCTCTCCCCCTCCCCGCCGTGCCTTCCCCGCTACCTGCCCATTCCCCATACTACCTCCTCCTCCTCCCAAACACAAGCCACCCATGCCTGCCGGGAGGCTCGCTTACCGCAGGTAGCTGTTGGGAGGCGTGTACTGGTGATAGTGCTCCGGCTGCGTGTGCCAAAATAGCATCTTGACCCGGCGAGCAGGTGGCGGGTGGCTGGGACTTGGGAGAGTCGAGCGAGGAGGCGCTGCTGCGGGTGAGAGGAGACGCGAGGACGAGGTCCCTCCTCGTCCTTCTGATTTGCCTCGAGCGAGCAGAGCGGTGAAGCGAGCACCCCCTAACTCAGCCCACAAGGTACCCCTCTGGGTTACGCACAGCACCTGGCCGCTTGCTCTGAGCACAACTGCCCGAGACAGCCGATGCCGCTTATATATAAAATGCACCCCCCTCTCTCGCCGTCCCCTCTCCTCCACCTCCAGTAGACACAAACAAACGCGCACACCCTCACCTGCACGACAAGCACTTCTCCCTTATTTGTGGTTGCGCCCTTCCCCGATTATAACCACCACCCACCCACCACCACCACCTACACTCCCTGTTTAATGAAAATGTAAATTGATTTTGGGAGTCCGATTGCCGCGAGTCGCGTGCCGCCGCCTGCAGGACAAACGCGGCGCTCACAGCGGGGGACGAGCGTCGGGAGGCGGGTGACACGCGTGTGTGCGTGTGTGTGTCTGTGTGTGTGTCTGCGAGTGTGTGCGTGTGTGTCTGCGAGTGTGTGCGTGTGTGTCTGCGCGTGTGTGTGCGTGTGTGTCTGCGTGTGTGTGTGCGTGTGTGTCTGTGTGTCTGCGCGTGTGTGTGTCTGCGCGTGTGTGTCTGTGTATGTGTGTCTGCGTGTGTGTCTGCGCGTGTGTGTGCGTGCGTGTGCGCGCGCGTGTGTCTGCGTGTGCGTGTGTGTCTGCGCGTGTGTGTGCGTCTGCGCGTGTGTGTGTCTGTGCGTGTGTGTGTCTGCGCGTGTGTTGGGGGTGGGGATGGACTTTGCAAAGCCACGGCGCTATCAGCGGCGTTGCGATTGTGCGTGAGTGCGGTGCAGCCGCATCGGGCCCAGGGGCCAGAGCGCCCCAGGTGCCCGGCCTACGAGTAAGGGGTGGGAGGGATTGGACAGAGTTCCCCAATTCCATCCCCTTGCATCGGGGGTCTGTGCCTTCCACGCTACTAAACACCCTCTGGTTGGTGTGCGCACGTGTGTCAATGCTGCGGATTTCAGGCGCTGCTATTTGCGCTGCATGAATCCTACAGTTAATACCGTATTTATATACTGTATAATAATTATAGCTGAGATAGCGTCGCTTATACATTGCATCTCAAAAACGCTGAACATCGCAAACTACATTCACAATTTCACATACGATGTGTGTGTATATAACAAATTACAGCCATGCACGTGTCGATCCACTGCAAGCATGAGTGACTTCCCACCAAGTTGTCTGATCATGGGAGTTGGTGTGATGACTATACTTTACCGCACAGGTCATGCAATGCAGGTTGGTGAATGGTGCTTGGAATCGGTTCAGATATCAGACGCCACTCACGGGAACCGGAACTCACGAACATCGGCGCCCTCGTCGCGGTTTGGAGCGAGAGTCGAAACGTCGAGACGTCGGCGTCATTCTGGACAAATGTACACGGGAACGCGCCCGATCTCGTCTCATCACTGAAAATGAAGCAGGTTCCAAAGGCTTGGCACTTGCTGTTGTAGGCATGGGGGTGGGGGGGAACTACGGGGCGAGCGATCCACGACCACGGCTAACATCAGTGGCGAGGGTTATCTGAGCCGCTCCTGAATCTCGAACCCGCACCGAGCAGCTTGGTCCATCATCCACATTCGAAAGACGTGGGGAGTCGAAACCTTCATCTTAGCTGTGGATTTGGCCAAGGGCTGTAAAATATGTTGTTGTTATTATTACACAACGCGTTTACAAATTTATACTCGCGTGCTTTGTGCGTTGCGGTGTGGCATGTCGGTGATTGTGTTTACGTAGGAAGCCGAGATGTGCATCTTTATTGCCCACAATGAGAGACGAAGTCCGGTAAATTACCAGCACACGGCTTATTATTAACACGAGACCACCGTCACCTTGATGACAAAGGGACTGCGATGAGAGTACAGCTCGTGGCTCTCTGCGGGGGAGCGCAGTTTCCGATGCAGCACGCGTTACACAAACGAACACGTGGGGAGGGGAACTCGACACCACGCACCGCACTTTGTAAATCCACTGCTGGATGAAGGCCACCGCGTGTCGATTCAATCGTGGTGGGGGCGGAGAGGGGGGTGTGATCGAGAATATTCCGCGCCGGCCACTTCGGAGTTGATGTATGTGGAGAGCACGGTTACTCAGCAACCGGTTGAGATATCAATCGCCACTGATGTTAGCCGTGCTCGGGATATTGACATGTTCGTAGCCAGGTTCACAACGCAGTGCGTTAAGCACAGCGCCCTACAGCTTCCCTCAAGTGGAACACTCTGGGTCATAAACCAATCTCCTTCCCTCTCCGTGTCTTCATTCTTGATCGTTGTATTTTTGCGCTAAACCCCCTTATAGGGGGAGTGCACTTCGCAACGACGTCCTGGTCAACCGGCGGTAAATTCTTGGTGCGCTTGAACTCTGCAAATGAGACCCAGGGGATTTTTTAGCAGTCGCGAGCTTGCGTGATCCAACAAATCCTGCTGGCTACCTTAAGCCGTGGACGTCTTAACAAGTCCGCACGACTAACGTGCGTTTAATGTGTACGCGCGCAGACACGGAACGGAGAGACGGATTTGTTCATACCTCGTATTTCCGACCCGGGGTAGGAGACGTGGCGCACTGCGCTCTGAACCCGGCAAACCGGAGTTCGATTGCGGGCCCACGGCTAACATCAGCAGCGAGTGACACCTGAACCGATACCGACGACCCACTCGCCCCCCACCCCCCCCCATTCTTCGTCACCAACATACATCGACGAACGTGGGTGAAGTATGGTCAAACACGGTAGTAGGAGGTGGTGCGGGTGGGGGGGGGAAGGTTTGATACAGCAGTGGATTGATCAAGGACTCTCCGTCATATCTCTGGGCGGTTTCTTCTCCTCGCCACCCTATCACTACAAGAAGCCGTGTCGCTGCGCACGACTGTCCACCACGGGGTATCCTAACCCCGTGCCCGGAACCCTACGAGTGCTGGTCACGCGTCTCGCAACAACCTTCCTCTCCCCACTCACGTCGGGCATCCTCTGTGATGGAGCTCTCTGCTCAGCAGGGGGCTCCCTATGAGACCCGCGCCCAAGTTCCTCGGCGATGTTTGCTCCGTGATGATCGGCAGAGGGCGGTGTAGCAAAAGCTATTGTTGTCCTGCACTCCCGTGCTCCCCCCCGTCTTCACCAACCCCGGGATGACAAAGCGTGGGGAAGTAGGGTGAAATAACCCCAAAACGACCCGCACTGACAAGGTGTAGGGAAGCCCACATCCAGCCGTGGATTAATTTCACAGACGTATTACTCGATTAATCACACATCAGACGCAGTGCTCCCATTAACCCTTGTCGATACATTCGTAGTCAATCATGATCGATCATCAATCATTATCGATGTGATGATGTACATTACACCCCTTTGATAATCCACTGCGAAATGGAGGCCTCCCCATGCCGTTAGACCATACTTCACCACGCTGGTCAGTGCAGGTTAGCGAAGGGAGGCGGAAGATCGTTTGGGGGTGCAGGACCTGTTTAGATGTCCCTGGCGCGGGAATGGAACTCCAAGTGGCCGGATTCACAGCGAGCGCGCTAACCACGGCGCCACCACTCCCATAGTAAAATACGGGCGAGCACGGGTGGTGGGGGTGGCTTTGAGCGCCCATTAAAGCCACATAACATGAAATCAGCCTCCACTTAGCATCCCCGCTTTGAAAATAAATATTGTTTCATAGTATCGGCCTATTGGCTTGGCCTTCCAGGTAGGCAGACTTGAGTTGACCAGCAGCCAGCCGAATGCTCAAGCGAGCAAACTCTCGACAGGTTTCGACCATCTGGGTCTCATCAGCAGAGTCGAGGCACGAAACAAATGCCGTTGGTTTAATCTGCAGATGCACTAATTGTTGTTGGCGAGAGCACTCCCAAGCACACGACGGGGGTGGAGTGGGTGGAGGGGGGGCAGCACCACGAGGCGCCCAATCAGCACGTGCGGCGGAGGGCCACAATGAACCCGCGAGCTCGTAAGAACATTCCGTGCGGCCAAGCTCACTTCCTTCTTGTCTCGCACCGACCCTTTGAAATTCAGAAGAAAAAAACATCACAGAGGCGCTTTACTGTCTTTATTGCCCCTTGAAACAATCTCAATGACGGGATATGGCGCGCTAAAGGGCACATCTGACGGTATATTAACAACTTTTAAGTACTGTGTCCTACCGTTTGGAGCTGAGGATTCCGTTACCTGAAGCAGGGCTGGGTTTCGTATGGCACATCGACCACACCTGAGCGATCTGCTGCAACTGAATCGCGTGTGCAGGTCTCTGTTGCCAGTTGCGAGCAGTTAAGCAACTAGCCGCTCAGATGTTGACAAAGCCCGTTGCAGGCGATTAAGTTCAGCGGTGATTTTGAGAGTGATTTGACTGCGCACACGGATAGCTCAGGTGTCCAGTACACGCGATTTTCCTGAATATTTTTTGTTTAGGTCGCTGGTAGACCGGCAAGTGGCACGTGCCGAGTAGCTGCAGCCATACATAGCAAGATGAATACGGAATGCGATGTGCCAAGTGCGGAAATGTTTTTTTGTGGTCGCCGACCCAGACAAACGTGAGAAATTGAGCCCTAACTTTAACCATGACACTTGGTGGACACTGTGGTATATGGATTAGAAACACGGACACTGGAAGAAAAGTGTTACAGTGGCGTGTGTGAATACTTGTAGTGTAGGCTCAAGGTTGGTAAAAATGTATAGTTTAACGAAAAAAAAACAAGAAAACAAAGCTTGCAAAGAAGAACGGGGGTGCATGCTTGGAATTACACTGACAGAGAGAAGGGAGCACGGGAATCAGGAAACAATAATTATAAATACTTAATTTTGAGACAATTGTGCTTGATGATGATTAATGGTGAGATCGGTGAAGGATTGGCAGCCAAAGGAGAGAACCACAGGTGGACCAATAAGGTCTGGTCTTACACAGGAGCAAGATGGATTGTGGCACTGCGTGACCATTTGGGATGGTGACGGCATGGAGATGCACGCATCCAACAGTGGATTGAACATGGCTGATAATAACGATGGCTTACTGAGAGGCAATCTTTACTCTACGCATGTTTACATTATTTTAAACGAGAGATTGATGTCCGATATATCTATCGCATTGCTATACATAAAGGAAACATCACACTTGGTTTAGGTTATCAATTACCAGTGTGAACTGTGATGAGTTTTACTCACTTCCACGTCAATTCTACACGTTCTCACAGTGTTTTGTTGTTACCCGTTACATTTGCAGTTGCAAGTGAATTAGACCACGTGTGCTGGGATACAATTCACGAGATCCGATGCACATTTGCTTCCAGGACTGTTTTCAGGTTGAAATTATGAGTTTCTTTTAATGTATAACAAAAGTCAACAAAATCGCATCTTAGCTCGTTGATATTCGCGGTTGTGCCTCCATAGCCCTCGTATGTGTTTTTGGGTTGCTGCGCGTGTTGTTCAGCATGGTGTCTGGAAATTCGCTAAATGTGCTGGGAGCTTCACATCGGCCGGCCTACTCCAGACACAATCACTTACTGACGGCAGTGCTATACAATCCAGGGACAACGCGAGCTGCTCAATTCATTTGCTGAAGAAGCTTCCGGCACGTGCTGCGAAACGTCTGACACCATGCCGAAGAGCACGCCACACAATCCGAAAAGACATTGGAGAATTTGCACCTTCGTTGCAAATAAATAAAACACATCATCACCTCCATCATACCTCTCCCAGAAAGACACATTTGCCAAACTACCTTTTTAATATCTGTACAGTTTATTAAACACATTTAAGGAAATACATCTCAATTAAATATCCATCAGAGAATAACTCGATATATATTATCTCCTCCATGCAAACCCACCACCTACAGCAATATACTCTGTGATAACAGCTGCCACTCAATACAGGGTGCAACTTTGCAATGTACATACTTTATATATCTGCCAATTGTCTAGGACAAATACATTTTTTTAAATCTTTTCTCAGATGATGCAATGTTCATTGTAAACCAGTGAAAAAACAAAGCAACACCAGAGCTTAATTTCAGCCAGGTCTGTGCGGGTCATCTACTCGGAAAATTTTCCTGCACGCAGCACACCACATCCACAGTAGCTCTCGTTATGGCTGTGGTTATTAGTCACGTGCCACCTCCCAGGAATTTAGCAAACTGTGGCAATATATTGCGTGAAAGATTAAGCCCTGGGCAACATCGTGAGCAAAACTGTAGAGGTGTTTGCCTCCCCAATGATAACCCTGTTGCCCATAACATGTCTTCACTACATTAGCAGATATATCTAGTATATGGGATAAGGGATTAATTAATATATCTATAAATCTGTATACTCTACTCCTAATTAATAGCATTATATATAAAGTTTGAATTAATGTTTTAATACATAAAACGTGTTTTCCTATAATCTGTCCACCCACTAAAAAGAGAACATTTACAAAAGTGAGTTGTGATTTTATTATAAATTAAAGTTCTCAAATTAGCGACCTGAAACCAGGCATGACACGCCAGTCAGCCAGCGACATCAGCCGGTGTCGCACGACGTTTTAAACGTGGTACAATTTTTTTGTCGTATTTTCCTGCGTTGCCCAGTTAAGAAATTTTTTTTTTACGAACATAAAAAACACACGCACACCGTTTTTCTTTTACATTGACAAGAACCCGCGTCAATTATAAATAACAAACGAGCTACTCTAACTTGCGACACCACACAAGCCGCGTCATGTCAAACTACAACTTGTGGCAGGAAACTGGAGAGCTGCCAGCAGTGCTACACACGCAATCTTGTTGCCGCGATTGTTCATCAGTAGCGAGTCTGCGTCAGTCGGAAGCTCCCGCAGGATTGCCATTTGGACACTAACTACCGACTCGATTTTACCGAGGCATCGCCTCCACTTTAATTACGCTTCAGTTCTAACGCTATGTTTTGTTGATTTATGGTTGCGATGGAGAGGTGAAATGTGGAGGGAGTTGGCTGATGGGCTACGATGGAGGGTCCTTTAGTTTTCTCCTTTTTTATGGTGGGGAGTTGATCGATGGCGTTGATATGTTCACGGTGAAGGTTGGTGAGTGAGCCGGGGGATGGCTTCAGGAGTATTCTGGTGGATATCTGAAAAGCTGTCAGCGAATGATCGAGGCGGGCAGTGCCACGGTGATGCGAAGCCAGACACATCCCCCCCCCCCCCCCCCACTTCAGACTGCTGTGTGACGACCTTAGTTTGCGCGGCTCATTGTTATTAAAGGAGGGTGGCGCATGAACAAAAAAAAACAAGAATGTTAATGCTCCTGTTTTGGCGCAATATTGGTTTTAATAAAGTACGGTAAATTCTCTGTTTATCTAGGAATGCCTCACTGAGTCTGAACATTTTTTCCACCTGCTTTGGCTGCCTGACCTATTCGATTTATTTTTTAGTTATTGTTGCATGTGTGAGAAAACAGCAGTAGTGGAAAAACCCCACGCGTAAAAATGACTAACAAATTTAACACAGTTCGGTATGAAACTTACTTGCTGTATTATCCAACAGGCAGCTTTTGTTTGCGAGGTGCCTCCAAGTCGCCAGATTACAGGTATGTGCTGCCACTTCTGAAATTAGCCATGGGACTGATCAATGTCCGTACTTAACAGCATTGTGACTATGAATAAGTATGCAGATAGAGCACTGCGTCTGAAAGATAGTTGACTCGGGTGGCTACGACATGTCGTAAGAAGAGAGCGAAATCACATCGGAAGAAAGGTGATAAACAGGGCAGAGACTGATCGGTAGGCCTAGAGAGCGGTGGCTCCAAGTGGTGAATCAGGATGTGAAGGACTGTGGAGGACGTGGAGAGGATAACCCAGGACAGGACCGAGTGGAGAAAGAGGAGCAGTGAGGCAGAGCCTACATGAATTGGGGAAAAATGCCAGGAAGATGAAGTGGATACAGTCTTGTATTGAGCCCCTCCTACCACTATGAAATCCATGTCTGTGACTGCAACCCAATAAATACCACGACCTAATCCCTCTCCACTTTCTAAGCTAGAAAATAATATCCAGCAGATGCTGCTATTCTCAAAATGAGTGAGTGTAATTATCGGCGGGCAATCTTCGTGGTGCTTTTTGAAAACCTTACGTGAAAAATATCTTCGCAAACGTATTCAAACAGGGATTCCGTTTGAAGAGCACACACGACTGAGCGATGACTGCATCTCCCGATAGTTATTGTGGCAGCATGCATTTTACAACATTCACCATCGTCCCTAAACATATCGATGTGCTATGAGCCCATGCTACCTTGGCAAGAGTCGTCCACCAGGTGCCTCAGTGGTATGAACGGATGGCACGACACAGTACACACGGCTACCCGAGTGCGCTGCCTAGCCTCTGTGTTAGTACGCGTTGTGCACGCACAGACGCCAAACACAGCGCATGCAGCGCAGCATGGCTCGAAGATGGCAAAAGGTGGTAAAGCGCTACAAATGCACAGACGTGTCAATTCACGTGACTCGGACTAAGATTAAATACTACGCACCGGCAACCTCCTACATTAACGGACAATTCCAACGGCCAGCATTCCAAATAACCCAGAGATGTGTTCACTAAGTGGGCAGCAATTTCTCTTACATTACACTTACAGCACTCAGGTGGATTTTAGATCAGATATAACAAACGAGTTGGTGTGAATGACAAAGTGCGAGCCTATGTTATATTAAATTAACGCGGGCATGGTTTGCTCCACTATACAGTGGCATTATACTAAATGCTGTGCATTGTGACATTTGGAGAAAAAAAGTGATCATTTAAATAACGACCGTGACAGCGGCTCAGATATGAGTTAAACTATGTATTGTGCTGAGAATAATCGAACAAAATACAAATATTAATGAAGATCTTGGACACTGACCAATTTACTTTTCCAATCGTGTGCTGATGGAGCAACACATGACAGTTGCATTTCACGACACCTGACCCCAATGCTCTCCACAACCCACTCAGGCATGACACTTCAAAGGGGGTGGACCAGCTCCTGCTCACCAGCACAACATGCAGTCATTCTCTCTGCGTTCCACACAGCTGTGCCACTGCTACATGGATAGCCACACACACAGAGCTAATTCATCCGAGCCTGGCCACTGGCTCAATGACACGAAAGTACTTCCCGACCCAGCGCACCGCATCCATTATACCTCCCACTATAGCTGTGACTATCACTTACTGCGCCGCTGCCAGCCAAAAGCCACAAGGATGGTTATACACAGCGCTTAACGGTCTAAATAAAGATTCTGATTCTGACTTCAGCGGGGTCTGTCCAGGTTGGTGACTCAGAAAAGATTCTACACCGGGCACGCCACATCCAGCAAACCTGTCACTGTGGCCGTGACCATTGTCAATGTGCCACCTACTCCAGACTACTGGCGACCAAGAAAATATGCAGTGAGAAATTAATCCCTGGCTATCCGAGTACACTCGCGGTAACGGTGCGGACCCAAGTGGGCACGAAAGCACCGTCATTCAAGCAGAGAAGGTGGGCGGACAGCGGGGAGTGTGTTGCACGAAGCGGGGAGTTGCATGCCAGGTGCCGTTCCCCCGGCTGTACAGAGCACCGCGTCTTGCGGTGGCGGTGGTTTGTGATGGTGGCGGCGATGACGCGCTCAGCTCTGGCCCGGCATATCGGCTGTGCTCTCTCCACTGGAGCCTGCCTGGGCTCGCTTAATGTACAGATTCAGCAGCTTCATCTGTGCAGAGAAATGACAAAATGCAATGGCAAGATGCGTGCAGCCTGTGATGATTGTCTTCATTCTGTACCTCGCAAGCGTTGCACAATTTCACGAGTGTTATTTAATTGTTTTTACATGCACATGGCAAAAACTAATTTAAGTGATTGGCCAAATTTCGAAATGCAGAACTCCTCCTGAAAAATAGTCTTGATACTACGTGTGGCTTTCTTGGGTAAATAATTGCCATTTTTAAAACAATACAGATTCTGGAATAAAAGAAATGTCACGTGAAATTAAGTCGATTCATTATACGAAGGAATGTTTACATGGCTACCTGCTAGTATTAAAGGGTGGGACTGGAGTCTGCACATGACCTTCAGTGTTAAATTGAAGGAGTGTTCACCTATTACAGTATTTCAAAGTGCAGCTGTAAAAGCAACGATTTCCAGTTTCTTGCTAGGAGATGAACACTTCCCATCTGTATAAAACTGCTTAATGCCACTTAAGTAACCCCGCCAGAGGCAAACAGAACAACCCCTCAGCGCCAAACATTAAACGGTTAGTTATATTACCTGTTTGTTTAAGTGGGTAAAGACCCCCGGAACATAATGAAGTCATACAAGCAAAGGGCGCTCTCTGAGCGGTTATTTTCAGCAGCCATGGTGCTGATTGTTGACTGCAGACTCCCACAACAAGTTTATGTACCCAGGAAAAGCTCTCATAGTCTCATGACTCCTTACTAGTGGAGCTCATTTCATTAAGCAGCGGACATGCGGAAGCAACCTGAGTTTCCTGGAGAATACACCACGCATACAAGGGACTAAAGGCCAAAGATCCAAACAGATAGATTTAGGAATACAGTTCCCTGACTGCCATCTGCTGGCCACCAACGCAGCCTGAGCCTACAGCAATCGGTATTCACAGGTGGGTGCAAATCCGGCTTAGCTTCTGAGATATCAGGTCAGGCAATTTATAATTTTGTTATATCTTTAAACTGGTGAAACACACAACTGTAATTTATTAAATTAGGCAGTGTTGACTTTATACAATTCATACAATGCAATCTTTTAATGTGTAAATGTGGTGATCCTTCAATGGGCTGTAAAAGTCCTTGCAGCTTTAACAGCCCTTTCCTTTGAAGTTAGCTTTGCCCCATTTAAACGCAGCTTACACGTGACAAATAGGCTACACCACAAGTGGGAGGGGAGGGCTCACGTAAATATGTTTGCATTGTGCTTTATACACACGTCCACGTAAAAATTCCCTACACAATGGAGTAGTTTACATTGTTTAAACACAAGTATAAAACAACCAACATGAAATTAATTGACACGAGTGAAATTTGGGCACAATTAAATGGACAGCTTTTGATTACCAATTACATCGGATGTATTTTTTTAAATTCAAACTGAGTTTAATGAAATAGGACACGGAAAATACATTGTTTTAACGTCGAGATTCCTTTTGTCTATTTGAATGTTGACCTTTCGCACCATACAAAGCCAACCATGCTAATTGAAGGTGCGGGGGAAGGACAAATTAAACACAAGAAGCATTTCTAAAGAAATGAGTTGTCACAATGTTCCGCAACAGAGAATGAAACATTTTAATACCTTGTATTTTTTTCATAAGGTATTAAAATGTAACAACACATTACATATATATTTTCACACCTGATGGAAAACATCACATTCATATTAATCATTTATAGTTTACAGCTATTTGCCAATCCATATGCAGCATGAAGGCCTCCCCAAAGCCAGGTCAATTTGACCATACTTTACCATACTAGTGGCCAGTGCGGGTTAGCGAAGCAGCTGGAGCTCAGGACCCGTTCAGATATCACTTGTCACTGATATTAGACGGGGCCTGGATTCAAACTCAGCTCGCCGGGTTCATAGTGCAGTGCATGAATGACTATGTTGCCGCTGTAGCCCTGTGTATTAATGCGTCATATCAATATGCTAATTTTTTTTAATGCATCCATGAACTCAGCTGCTCCACATCCACTATTAAATCCATAAACAGTCCGAGTTGATGTCTAAATAAAATGGGGACAGGTGGTCTGTGTTGATGGTCACCTCACCATGGAAATAGAAACATCATGCACTGTTGCAAAAGCATCAGCACAGTGCTGTGTCAGGATTTATATCACACCGTGGAAGAAAAATGAATGCCTTCTCGATGACGGGCCCAACAGCTGCATTGATGACAATTGTCTCCGTTTCTTTGCGTTTCCATTGCAAATGTAATTGTACGAATCCTGTTAATTGGATACTCATCCCCCAAATGCCCCCCGCACTAATGAGCACCGTGAACTTATCCCACTTGGCAAGTCCTTGCACTAGGTTAGCATGCGAGCCGTTCCCTTTCACGGGCATTGTTTAATATATACGGGAGTGTGAGTTGGTGCACACGTGGACACCAATAGAAGGAAAGGCAGGGCCTTGAAATGGTTGGCATTAGGCCAGGAGACAACCTGCGCTGTGAGGCCTGGTAGGTATTATCTGAGCTACATCTCAAGAGGAAAACGTGGTGGTACTAAATTCCAATTGTTTCTAAACAGAATGGATGGCCCTTTAAACAAATAGCTATAAATCCTGCACTGGGGAAAGATAAAATTAAATTGCTCAAAACCACAAAGCAATTGTGTTAAAAGTGTATTTTCATTAATTATAGTGTGTAATCGCTTTCTATGCAATACACACTTTGCAAGTGTGAGATTCAACAACTCCTGCCAGCAGAGAGTGAAAATTATTCGCCCAAATAATTTGCTTAAAAGTCAATTTCTTCAAATTCTGTCAACTGTATGTTTTAAACTAAATCTCAATTCGCAAGTTTAGTACACAAAGCACAAACTAAAATAAGTTCAAATAACAAAACCAGCCAGGCATCAAAACGTGTGCATGCCCACATGAATACTCGCGTTGTAGACAAGGCGGTTGTCTGTGAACTGCTGCACGTAAAAATAATGTTAGGTTTACTGTGACTAAAGCCAATCAACTGTTGCATTATTTTTATTCCCTCGGGTTGTTTGTGATCAGCACAGGGAAAGTTTAAGCCCGTGCGGTGCCAGAGACATCAGGACAGACAGGGTGGCATGTGGGCAAGCAGCCACGCCACAGCCGACGTACCAGCCAGGCACGCCCCTGTCCCTAATGCAACAGACGGAACAAGGCACCCCCATTACAGGATTAGCCTTTGGGGCCTTTTGCCATTATGTCTTTGTGGTCCAAAACAAACCCTTTGGCCTTTATATGCGGCTTACAAGATAAGCCATCTTATCCGAGGGCTTCAATAAAGAGATCTGAAGTGCAACAAGTTTCTTTCTTTCTTAAGAAGGGGGGCAAGGATTCTCTTTTTTTTACATGAACACCAAAAGGTGGCTTTGCAAATACTACAAACAAACAACCCAGAATAAATATTTGCAGGCCGGTAATTTGCTGAATTTTAGACTACGCAATGGTGCTTAATATTAAACTACAATTAGGGTGTGTGATAAGAGAGGAGCAATGATTGTTGCAGTTAATTTGTAACACATTTCCCAACAACACCAGCAGACACACCTGGTGCAGTAGCATTGCAAACTAGCACAGGAAGAGAACAGCCTGTGGCTTGATAAACAGATCATGGATCTAGGCTTTGTTCATGCCTCAGAGGCACAAAACAGATGATATTTGGAAAATAAACCAACATTTATTTACATGCTCACTCAGGAACATGCATTTAACTTTACCCATTTATATTTAAAAAAGGCTGAGGGTTACCTCAGTTAAGAGGCCAGCGGGCTCCCAAGCAGAAGGTTCACGCGTTGGCTCGCCACGGTGGCGAGCTGTTAACTACCTTGCCTGGTGTACAGGCGGTCGTGGGTTCTATCCTAACCCTGATGCCTGTTGTATATTTGGAGTTTGCATGTTCTCCCTGTTGTCACGTGGATTTTTATCCGGCTCCTCCCGTTTTTCTCTCCACATTTAGAAACACGTTTCGAGTATTTGGCTGCGATACATTTCCACGTGCTAAGCCGCTTAATTGAGCTATCATTTGTAGCCAGGTCACTTCTGAAAAAGAGCTACATAGCTCAGTGGGCCTTACCTGGTAAAATAAAAAATAGTTTACTAGTTTATTTTTAGTTCAAATCCTGGCCACGGTCAGACCGATGCATCATCCCTCTGGGTCCCGTACAACGATCACCGCCCGGAGAGGCCTCGCCACTCAATGGGGACCCTGCCCCAGGACACACCCCGTGGCCGGCACCGCCGCACCTCACCTTACTGCTGGACAGCAGCGCCAGGTGTGGGGTGAGCTCGTCTCCAATCACCGTGTAGATCGCCACGAGGCAGAACACGCTCGCCTTGCGCACGCTCGTCTCGGCGTTGTCGTAGCCCTGCGCGCACGCACGTGCACCCACGTACAAACGTCTACCGCAAACCGCTCGCATTATGCGCCTTACCTTACATAAATTCCACCAGTTAAAATCGCGAACAGTGCACCGAATCGCGCACGCGGTAGAGCAAATTTTAGTTCAGCGTGTAATTTTTTGGTGCTGGTCACGTGATGCCTGCAGCCATTACAGGTGCTACATTCGTCATGTTCTAACCATTATTGAATGGAATTGCGACCCTGGAACGTGACAAGCTGTTGTTGAAGAATAATTTTTACAGGCCCATGTTTCTCGAGTTTAGCTCTGTGGATTAAGATTGTAATTTATGAAGGTTGTCCGACATTGTAGATGGGGTCATACAACTGGGCTGCCGACCAATCTGTATGACTGTTATTTCCGTCTATGCATGTGTTCGATTTTCTCTGGGTGCTACGATGTTCTACCAATTATTAATATTTCGCACGAGTGTTTTAGAATCAGCAACCTATCCTGAATTGAGGCATACATGCCAGGTTAGGGTTCATTAAAGTCCTTTCCACTTTGTGTGTTGCCACTAATGATGGAACGTTACTCAGAACAGTGGTGCAGTTTTCTAAATCATCATCAGCCATGATCAATCCATTGTTGGATGAAGGCCTCCCCATATGCTAATAAATCTGGCAGCTTAACCAGCATGTAATATTGGTACATTTTTGGTGTATAAATATGAATTAAATGGGTATAAAGGTATGTTCTTCTATTCGCAAAAAACTGACAATCCATCATATTCCTTTATTTTAAAAAAATCATGAGAGCCAATCTTTAGATTAATATGCTATTCTAAATGAATGATTTAATAGCGTAAAATAACCAATTCTTCATTTAGTAATAAGTGAAAGCTAATGCTGATATCCAAAATTTTTACAAGCGAGACCTAGACACGAACAAGATAGAAGATAGGTTTCAAAGTTGTGGGACAGCAGCAAGCCCCGGGCTAAGCCTGCATCATATACCCACTTGTCTATCAACAGGCCAGCTTGCCATCCCATAAACAGACCCTGCTTGTGGCTACATAAAGCATAGATTATACGCCCAATAGCACTCACCTCCCAAAGCTGCAGAACTTTACGACTATGGAAATCCTACGCCGCTTTTACACTGCGACGATGGTGGCGGTGGTGCCGTGTAACTTATATTCAAATGTTGTGAGCTGCGTGTAGTGAGAGAGGGGTGACCATAACAGTACGCGCCGCGTCCTCTAAACAAGAGGTGGCTCCGTGCCAGCAGGAGGATGAGCGGCCAGTCGTGGTGCTCGCCCACTGGGGAACCTGAGCAGAAATTAGTATCGGGGGCTCTCCTTTTCAATTTGCACATTTCCTCGTGAGATAGGCCGATAAGTTAAATGTAGATGAAAAAAATAAAGATGGCTTGAGATGAGAAAAAAGGGAGGCGAAGACGAGATAGAGATGAGATTAATTGGACTTTTTAACAGTATTTAGCTTATGTTAACGAAGACTTGAATTTGAGATTACGTTTGATTTACCCTTTTTCTCATAAATCCAAAAGTTTATTTCAGATTGAAGATGAATTCTGGTCAACATTTGACAAACACAATAAGTGACTTGGAACTCACTTAAGTGGGAAAATAACTCCACGTAGCAACATCACTACTCCTACCGGCAGTCTAATGCACACTTACAGGCCTGCGCTGAGTACGCATCGCGCAACACGGGGCCAGCTGCCGCTGGCGGTCTCTCCGAGGTTCGACTGCGGGCCAGGGCACTGGAATGGTTGAGTTCGCTTGGGTGGGGAGCGGAATGCCCAACGTGACTGTTACCTGCACGAGGCCCGGCACAACATCGGGCAGCAGAGACAGCAGCACGTCCTGTGGGAGCCGCTCCACCACCTTGGTCTGCATCTTGATGGCGGCTAGGTTGCCGGGGTAGGTGGCCGTCTGCACGAATGGCCACAGCAGCCGCAGGCACGGCTCGGGCGGAAGCGCCGACGCGAGGGCCGCCGCGGCCTCCTCCGCCGCGTGCACCACCTGCACGTTCAGGCGGTGGGGGGGGGGGGGGGGGGGGGGGGGGGGGGGGGTGGGGGGGGGGGGTGTACACGCATGCGATGATGGGGAGCGGAGTTGAGCGAGGGGGGCCACGCGGAGACATGAGACCGTGGCCGGAAAATGCGACCCCGTAAATCGATTAAAATCACCCGTGGAGAAATTCAATTGCCGAGTTGAAAAATTGAGGGTTAGTGCCAGCATCGTGGAAAATGTGCACCTTGTACATAACCCAATGAATGAAAGTGTGAAGTCGCTTGCTGCCCATGTGTTTTGCTGATGGAGTTGCACAGCCTTTTCTCCAGTACGTGGAGAAGAACGTCAGATAGCATGCCAAACCACTCGCCGTACAACCCGAAAACACATTGGAGAGTTCCGCAGCACGACCGTGGTGGGTGAAATTTCAAATAATTTTCTTTACCAATCACAAGTGTTGCCACACGAGTGCACATTCGGAGCTTTAATGTGCACGTTTTGCAGGTATGGATCACAAATAATCATCATGTGCACGTTTTGCAGGTATGGATCACAATTAATCATCATGAAACAATAATAGTTTATGGATGATAAAATAGCAAGGAAATTGTTATCATAAATGTTACGGTAAAATATTCAAAACCAAATTCTCGAAAGAAGGACTTTTCTTCTCCCCGTGAGCTCGAGAGTCACAATAATGCCAATTTAAATTCGCTACATCTTTGTCTTTCCTTTACCAGCTGCCTTACCTCAGTCTTACTCACAGCCTTTAGTTCAATGTAATTCTTCATTACATCAATGATTGACTACTGTCTGGAACTTCCCATGTACAGCACAGCACTCAGAACCAGCAGCAACAGGGGACAGTATATGCAAATGACAGTGCCTGGAATAATTTGTCAGCATAACAGGGCAGGGGGAGAGCATGGGCAGTGTGGGCCAGGGGGAAGGGGTGTCTGCACATTCAGAGGGGTCCTTGCTCATCTGCGGGACGGCAGAGATCATTGGAAACAGAGGAGCCGACCGCCCTACCTGGGGAAGTGTACTGCACCGGACAGGGATTGAGTTTGAACCCCCCCCCCCCGCATCGAACCCCCCTCGTTACGGGTCAGTGGCCTGACCTCTGGGGTGACCAGGCAATTCAAAACCACTTAACCCGGTACCAAATATTAGGAGGGAGAGCTGCCGGCCGTATAACATTTGCGTCACAAACAGCAAAGGGGGGGGGGGCCTCTGTTCTTAAAACCCAAGCAGAGGTGCAAGTGGAGGCTGTTGTGACAACACATTAACCAGAAAATAAACCCGCCCCGTGTTTGCTTTGCATGCACAATGTCCCGACTGTGGTTCCAAAGGGACTCCCTGAAAGCTCTGCGTTTGTATTTGCAGAAGCAGTAACTGCCTGAGCTCCTTTTCACTCAAGCAAATCTTTACAACTTTCCTCCGAGACGGTCAGGCTAGAACAAACATTTGTTGAGACGTCACACTTACTGGGAAAGTGTGTTTTTCCGACCCAGACCTACAGCTGCATGGCATCACATCAAGCCCTGTAGTGTGACCTTATTTAAAGGTGGAGGGGGGGTAGATAAACCCACTCAGGGGGAGCACGACAGTCAATTTCAAACAAATGTTACACGCTAAACGGAATGAGTGATATGCAAAACGAAGCTCTTCGTGCATTCTGCACCAGCTCTCACCCCCTATGCATACGAGGAACAGCGGTGATGTCCATTGCTTAATTGCCACTGGTGTTATATAATGTACCAACGTTGTTTTCTTGTACAATAAGCAATGTTGAATAGGGGACTGAGCCATCAGGAGGGAGTGGGGGGAGTCCTCAGCTCCGGGACTGCATCACGTGTGTCTGGTGCACAGGATATCATCGAGCAGAGCTGATGCAATCATGGCACCTTTTTGGGGAACTCAATGCAGTTCATGGATAGTTAATTTGACAATGGTGAAAAAGAGATTCCGTGAAAACGCGTCCTGCGAAAATGCGGCATTTTGAAACAAGTCTTAATTCAAGATCACGCACAGCCATGAGCCCCCGTTCAGCGTTTGTGTGACGTTTTATAGGAAAACAAAACAGAATAACTCTTGGAACCGAGGCGATGTGTTTGAGCAGACCGTGGGCCAGAGTGGATTACAATTTGCCCGTGTTCCTCTTTGGTGGTCCATTTACTTGGTGGAGAGATCATGGTGTAACTGTATTTTCAGAGAGACAAAATTCCGTCCTGGAAGAGTAAAACCTCACTTTTTCCAAAAGGGGTAAATACTAGTTCCGTGACAACTGGCACACCTTTCCACATTCCTGAGTCCAGGTACAGTATGAAATTAACATTCATCTAAATATGATTTATGTGGTCCTGGGTGTGGGGAGGCCCTGATCCACTGCTGGATCAGGGCCTCTCCACACCGATTTGCACGGTTGGCTACGTACGGTGCAAAAGTTCAACATACATGCAAACATACATTTTATGAATAACATATTCTATCATAGGTGCTGGATGGATTGTTGCATCGCAGAATCGTGAGAAGTGGTGGCAGTTAGTGGAGACCTTCATCCAGCAGTGGATTGATCATGGCTGATGATAATGATCTTACAATGATTTAGGGTCAAAATCGTTCTTAGGTTTTCTGACCAAGGGCAGGTCCATTGGCTCAAGCTTCCTCCAGCCAATCTGATCCCATTCCACACTCCTCATTGTACGACACCACACTCCATCCAAGGGCTCTCAAGCCATTACTCAAGAAGGAGAGTGCTTTCACCTCACCTTCCTTCAATATTTTGTTTTATAAAGTGACACCATCACCAGACAGAGCTTCACAGCATACCCAATAAGAAGAGTAAGAATGTATTGTAAAAACTAATACTGGATCACTTTGCTGCATGTCAAACAGGCAGGCAAGCTCAAGAATGAACACGGAAAAATTGAGATTTTCCACACTTCACACGCATTTTGGTAAATCCCATCATCCGTAGAGGCCAATGGAATATCGGTTGAATGTGCAAGGGGGGCAACTGAACCGGAGCCACTAGCGGAGCCAGTGGGGGGGGGGGGGGGTGGCACGTGCCCCCCCAATGATCTGATCGAAATCCCTAATTTCGATCTGATCATTGGGGTTTATGAGTAATAAAGCGGCATTTTGCGACCCCCTTCTGCCACTGTGTAGCATATTATGTGTCAGGGACTCTGTGAGATGATAGGACAATAGTCTGAGTCCATAATTGGCAATAAGTAATGGCAAAGCAGTTATAAGTGACTCACAGAATTGTGCGCAGTTGCGTATACAGTACACGACTTCCCTGAAGGCAAACACCTTCAGCGAGCGCAATGCCGATCACACACGGTTCGAATTCGACCCTCGATCGATGGCTGTGCCATCACCGCACACACGTTGAATAAAAAGCAAGGGACAAGTCCTTACTTACTAACAACTCCTATAATTTTTCATTGCTGGAGGGGTTGCCCCCCCCTACCTGAAAATCCTGGCTCCGCCATTGACCGGAGCTCATGTGCCAGAGGCGCCCAGGTGCCAGGCCATGAACAGGGGACAGCAGAATAGACTGTGGATGGGAGCCCAGTTTAATTCCTTGCACCAGAATCCCTCCCCAACCACGTGACACCACTGCTAGATGCTTACAGGTGTCCAAGCACGGCAAATCTCTTTGCTCGCAAAAACCCCGGAATTCAACGGCGTCCACTCGCGGAGGCCGGATCGAATCTCCCGATGCGCAGGCAACGCGACGCCAAGGTGGTGACAGAACAGGAGGCCTCGTGAAGCACGGTGGGGCGGTGACCCCACCGGCTTCCCTCCCGCAGCTCCCATCGCATGCACCGCTGCCTCTACGCGTTCCGACCAGCACGTCCGAGGATCACATTCCAGCTGCGCACGCAATATTTTCAGATTTCATCGTTTATGCTGACAAATGTTTTGTTGATGTTGTGACTTGGCCCACAAAAGGCACAAACGACAACAACAGATTACTTTTCTCCGGACATAATAACGGCCGCGAACGAACTCCTACGCTGTGAGCCGCGCGTGCCGCTCGCAGCACCTGCTGCACCAGCCGTGGGTTCATGGGGACCGTGGTGACGATGCAGCCAGACTCTTGCTGTCCTCTGAGAGATACAGGGCAAATGTCACCAAAAGAAAAGCGAACATTTTTAAGAATAAAACTCCCATTAATTAAGGTTTTAATATTTTACGCTTGCGCTAGATCCCCTGAGCATCTACAACAACGGCCGTCTCTGGATTTTCAATCGCGTTTGAAATTAATATTTTAAGTGATTAAGTTGTCGCTGGCGTAATAACAATCAATATAAATTGTTTTACATGGTTATAAAATTAGAAATCATTGCACACTTTATTGCAATTGACCCCTGTTTAACCTACCTCGCTCACTCGCCAAGCAGAGCGGAAAACAGCAAGAGAAACCTTACACTTTCATTTTTCAAGGACGATTTTTTTTTCGTGTGTGATTTGATATCATAGCTCTGCTCTCCTTGGGGTGCAGTCCCAGGTGTGTGAGTTTTGGTGACCGCAGAGGTCATGCGTCGAGGCACTTCATGCTTTCGTGACAGCGATTTTCACAGCGTCAAATGTGTACGGGGGCATGACGTGGTCCGGCGCTGGCGCGTTCACTGCTTGTTGCAGAGATTCGCAGTTCGAATCCGGCAGACCGCCCTGGTTATTACTGCGCTGCGTGCATTAACCGTAAAAAACCGCGCGCCGCCTGCTTCACAGTGGACGTTAGAGATCCCCCGACATCATTTGAAAAGAGGAGGCCATTATGTACTGGCGCCATGGTCCAAATTTGCCAAATTAAAAACATTAACCGCAAATTACTCCATTGGATTACACATACAAACATCACTCCCTACTGTACAACTCATACAGACTGTATCTGTGAAACATAGCACATTCTTGATTGCCAAATGTACGACAAGGGGATAAGCACCTGTTGGAGTAATATGTAAGTGCATAACTTGCATGCTTTGTAGGAACAT